TGGATAGAGAGAGCTTTTACCATTGATATAAAGTGAAAAATTATTAAAGCTCTGCACGCTTGCCTGTCAGGAGAGGAGCTTTGATTTTAAGGAAAAATTTTTGCTTTTTAATAGCACTAACGTATAGCTTTTCGAATCTTAATACGAAATGTTTCAGAACGAGAGGAACACTTACATATAAGTATTTGGATATCGTTTTGAGCTTTATGTGGTATAGGTGTCTTATACTTATACCTATATAATATATATATACTTACATCTTAAAGGTATTTTTACTTTATGCTTTATGTATGGATGACTACGACAAAAAATGGAATCGTTCATACCCTCCCGTTGTTGAAGATGAGTATTTCCATTTTGCAGAAGAAACACCGACTTTTTCTTGTCATTTTTTTGTTTTGATAAAAAATTAAGATACTCAAAAATGTTGGTTCTTTTTAGAAGTTTTTTTTTACATTTTGTGCCTATTCCTGGAGGGGTTTTAAAAATTTTAGTTCTTGGAATTGGTTTGTCTTAACTTTGCTTTGCGTATTTTTGCTAAAAAAAAATTTCAGAAAAAATTTGCTATAAAATAGATTTTTTTTTTTAAATTTTTTACATTATGAGAAGCCTGCTAGGTATGGTTTTCTTTTAATAAATGCTTTAGAAAAATTTTTACCGAATAAGCTGAAATGACTCACTGTGCTTTACACTGCATATCAAAACGGTTTCACTACTTTGGCTTGTAGAGCTGATTGGCTTGTTTTTTCGGCCACGCTTCGCTGCAACCGCAAAGTTAGCTACAAGTGGTCTACCTTAAGCCGTAAAGAATTGGTCGCGTAATGAGAGCAGCGCTTACCAGCGGCTGTGATGCTTCAATGACGTCACTACCCAGCCAGCGAAAAATCCGAAAACCGATCCGAAAAAGAAAAAAATAGTGGATGAAGTGCGGATTTTTGTCCGTTTACCGATTCCATTTTCGGATACTATAACGAACTAAAGTGTGCGGCAGAAATGTATGTACAGACAACCTCCGAAAATTGTGTGTGAAATGGATACTTTTTCGACGTTTTTTTTTTGAAATTTGTTTGATTGAATTTTTCGTTCAATACGCTTTCCTTCTGCACTTCACAGATACTTTTTTATGGTTAAAAAAAGTGAAATCCAAATAGGAAGTGCCTGACGGAATTCGAAGCCGGACCCTCCTGGAAGCTAACAATGCTCTCTGCACGCTGAGCCACTGCCGACTACGCATGCATGCTTTCAAATGTTTAGCTTGAACAAATAAAATACAATCATTCCTTTCAAATAACATCATCTTTTTCGAACGTTTCGAACGTTTTCCGTATACGAAAACGAATGATACTGTAGTCGTTTTCTATTCGTTTCCGGATACGGAAAATTGTACTAGACTGCACTGTCGGCAAAATTTACGTTGCTTTGCTGGCTGGGTAAAAATTGCAATTTGTGTGAGTAGTTGTTTTTTCTAGTATCTTATATTGTTGTCGATGCAGTAGTTTACGAGTACATACATACATACAGACACTCATACATGCATACATGCGAACAAGTACAAGTCAAGTAATTAAAGTTGGCCATAAAGCATTTATTCAACTAACAGGTCTATTCTGCACGTTACCGACAATTTTGTAACAGGAAATTTTCATTACCAAAAAATTTTACTATGTACTTCTTGTCCCCGCGATTCTAGATACGTAGGTAATGCAGTCAAAGTATTCAGCAATTCAGCAATTCTTATATTGCATATTTCATGGCGCAAAATATTTTGTTACAGCTTTAAGATGGCAACAAAATTTACTGGTTAGAAGAGTGCACAGAATGCGAAAAGGGGTTAAAAATTGACAGACACTGCTTTTAGCGGTTACAAAATTACTGTTACCAACGCAGAATAGACCCGTAAGTAGCAATTGCTAACAATAAAACAAAAAAAAAAAACACCAACAATTATTTCAATAGCTGTTGTGGCTGCGCTGTTACAATCATTGCTGCTGCTGACCTGGCCATTTAGATTTTGCCTCGAATACTCGTACACCTGCAGATTAATTGCGGACTCTTATTACACGGTATACAAGCGTTATGACTCTCATTCCACCCCTCCCGCCAACAGTCGAACTACGCCAAGCAATTTGATTGACTCGAAAAGCATGGCAGGTGGAGAGGAGGGCGTTCAAGTCAAGAGTAGTGGCTCACTCGCAGTCAGGCAGCATAATCCATCAACTGTACGAAGAAAGTTGCTGTTATGCAGTTGATTTGTCTATTTTTCTGTGAGTGAATATGTACATATGTAAGCAAGTGTATGTATGTATGTATGTTTGTTTGTGCATCTTTACCTGCCTTGCTATTTGTATTATGTATGTAGTTGGTGGCTTTATGCTTGGGGCGACGAGGCCCGTACGGTGAGTTTGTGCTTTGAAGCAACCGCTTTTAGTTTCTTTTATAAGTTTGTAATGCAGCGAGTCACCTTGACCACACTTGAACCACTTAATTGAAAAGTTTTATTTTTTTTCAAACCAACGGTCTTAGTAATATTTGAACTTGAAATTTAAATATTTACTACTACTGCGTTGGATATTTGAATGCGGCATTCGCGTTGCAAAGAAAGTAGTTTTTGTTCCCACAATTGTCAAAAAAATTGAAATAAATTCGCTTAGCTGAAACTGCATACATTTATTGAACATTTCTATTTTACTTTGTTCGTTTTATGTTAAAACATTTGATATATGCTTTGTTACAGCTGTCAGTCATCTGTGAAAAATCTATCTTTTTTGTTTTTTTGCACAAAAGTTAAGTATGTATGTATGTATTTATGTAGTAACAAAACGGCATTTCGTGTGAAAAACATGTTGTATGTATTGTTTGTCGAACAAGATAAGCAGTGCGTGCGCATTGATATCACTGCATACAAAAAAAAAAATACATGCATGCATACAAACATATGTCATTAGGGTGGTCCAAAACAGTAAAGTCGGAATTGTAATGCTCTCACCCCTAGGCTTATTCTATATCGAAAAAAAGTATACCCCTATTATTTTATTTTGAAATCAATAAATATTTAAGAGGTCGCTCAAAGCGTTCAAAGTTTTCCATGTATTTTTATATGGGGAAAATAAATTTTTTCGTAGAATTCTTGAAAGTCAATATTTTTCGATCGCGAAAGCTCTTGTTCTCTTCAGGAGACTTTCAATAATAATACCCAATTGTTTATTTAACCATTTTTTAATACCAATAATTTTTTATTGGTCCCCCTTTGCATTTTCCGGCGTTTTGTGGGTTTTTGGCTAACCTATAAATTGTAGTTGCGATGAAATAATGGTTAAATAAACAATTGGGTATTATTATTGGGAATCTTCTGCAAATAAGCAGAGTCCTCCGATAGAAAAATATAGATTTTTAGGAATTCTATACCACTTCTACCAAAAGTTGTGTTTTCCCCATATAAAATACATGGAAAATGTTGGGCGCTTTGAGCGACCTCTAAATATTTTTTGATTTCAAAATAAAAAAATGGGGGTAAATTTTTTTCGTTATAGAACAATTCTAGGAGGTGAGAGCATAAAAATCCCCACTTTGACTTTTTCACATGCAATTTTGGACCACCCTAATGCACATACATACGTGAGCATTCAAGATCCTTTCGTGTGAAATATACTTCGAGAGAGACTTATTACAATTAAATAAAAAGTATATACAGTGAGCCACGAAATTTACGTACAGAGAATTTTTCACCAAGTATGCAAATTTGTTTAGTTTTTACTTTCTTTTCGTAATATCGTACAGCAAAAAAGTAAGTGCAGCTGGGCGACACTGTACCTAGATTTTCATTTTTCTTCCTATTCTTCATGTCTTTGCTTTTATGTTTTTCTTTATCTACATGTTCACCTAAGTGATGTGAGGTGCGTTGACGTGATACGATGCTATGTGATGTGCGTGCGATTTTGTGCAGTGTAATGTGATAGGATGTCATGTCATATCATGTGATTTAATGTGATATGGTGTCATTTCATATGATGTCTTATCATGTGATGTAATGTAATGTGAGGTCATGTGATGTAGTGAAATTAAGTCTGGTGAGTTTAGGTGTGTTTAGGGAGTTCAGATGTGATGAGTTAAGGAGTGGTAAATTAAGGTGTAGTAACTTTGGTGTGTGGTGTGTGGTGAGCGTATGAGTGGTGAATTCTCCTATATTTGTGTCTATCTACATATCGATACCTGAGTGGAAGATCGACCTATCTCGGTAGTCAGTTCGAAAATGCCCTATCTCAGAAAACTTTTCCAGAACGCCCTACTTCAGAAGTGTAAATCAACATTTTTTTAAGTCCATTCCATCCATTATGCTCGGCGATACATATCAAACAGATTGTGACATTTGAGTCGATACATATCAAACTTGCCTAAATCCATATGGCATTTCTTCAAACGTGGTTAAGTCCAACATAAAGACTTCTGTATTTTGAATATGGCCTAACTTTAAATTTTTTTTCTTCGAAAAATGCTTCCAAGATCTATTTTGTAAGCATTTTTTCAGCTTTGCAAAATCTACTCGACTAAGGCAGGTTTGATATGTATAGACTCATATGTATATACATATATCCCTTTCTTTATAATTAATTTATTTTAACCATTATTCCTGTATCTTTACTTTACTTTTTAAAGAAGTTTCACTTCAAAAAAAATATAAATAAAAACAATTTGCATATAAATTTTCAAATTTTTAATCAGATTTTTTATAAAAATGTTGGATACTTTTTCTGATTTTACATAATCTTCTTGATATAATTTATAATTTCTCTTTGTGCAAAACAGTCAATCAACTTGTTTTGTTTTAGTATCTATTCAGAGAACTTCACATTCATTATGATTCATTACCGAATATGCAGAAGTAACTCCAAAAAATCATACATTGTTTTTCAGTCATAAATTTGCATATTACAACCAAAGATTTCCTCAAAATTACTTCGAGGTTTCCGTCTCAGGTGAGTGTGGCCAATACAACAGCTTCCTTAGGAAGCAGTACAATGAAGTTGCTTTTAGCCTTGTCACTAAAAAGTTAAATTTAAGAATTAAAGTTAAGTTAAGTGGGCAAAGAGGAGCTTAAGAATATCTTACCCCTTTCGTCTCAAACCTCTATCCATCACCAATACATACTCCAATACAGTGGGTAGATCATTAAAAGTGGCATTCAAGTCGATCGTTTGAAATACGTCGTTTAGATTCAAGAGTACAACGAATGTTCGTTCACCAGTGAGGTATCTAAGATACAGACGCATGCATTGAATTATGAAAAATGCTCCCAAATGAGATCCAACACCCCTGCTCTCCACTTACCGCTTAATGCCCAATACATTTGCGTTGACAGCCTTCACTTCAGTTTCTCCCTCGCGGATTGTATTTTGTGCACGCAATTCCTGGAGCCGCTTGTACACATTTAGATGACTATAAGCAATGCCTCGTTCACGCTTCACATTCACCAGTTTATAATCCTCAGCCAGAGGTAACCATGATGCATTGCCCTCGGTAAAGCCGGCTTTGTGTCCGTCATTCCACTGGAAGGGCGTACGCACCGGATCACGACTTAGACGTTCATATACTTCTGGATTCGATTGACAACCTTGTGGATCGACGGTCTCTTCCCAAGAAATCCAAACATCCGTCATGCCAATCTCCTCGCCTTGATAGGTGACACTTACGCCAGGCAAGGTCTTCAGCATTACGTTGATCAAGTCAATGCGATCGGCGCCTAAACGAGTACCAATGCGACTCTGGTCATGATTGCCTAACTAAAATAGACCCAAAGATGTATATGATTGAAACAGGATTACATGCCCAGCTACGAGCTTAAATACTCATTTCAACTTACTACCCAATTGGCTACGCGCCCGGCTGGCATGCTTTCCAGCCATTTGTTTATGAGTTCAGAGTAGTGGTAAGCATTAGAATGTTTGTCCAAATAGTCGATTAGTTGGAAATTGAAAGGTATTTGAGCGCCATCTGTGGAGCTATTTCCGTAGTATTGCATTACCACATCAATTGGCGAATATGCCTCGGTCATGAGGATGTGTTCGTCGCCACCCAGCTCCTCATCGAATTCCTTCAAGACCTGACGAAACTCATAAATCACTTCAAGCGACTGAGGTTGATCTGTAGTGTAGATGTGCTGTAGGGACAGGTAGTCTTCGGGGTCATTAACTTCAGTGTTACGGGGCTCATCAGGATAATTGCCGTCCGCATCGGCAGCTATTTCGTAGATATATCGCACAGCGTCGACACGGAAGCCGGCAACACCCAAGCGCAACCAGTAACGCAGCACATCCTATGCGAGCCATTGCAATTACTTTAAAGTAGAGACTTATAACTTTTAATTTAACTTTTTTTACAAACCTTCATGAATTCGCGCACTTTTGGATTATTGTAGTTGAGATCTGGCTGCTTGGCGTGGAACTGATGTAGGTAGTATTCTTGACGATCTTCATTCCACGTCCACGCCGAACCGCGAAAATTACTTATCCAATTGTTTGGCGGCACTCGAGTGCCATTTTCGGATATTTTGCCCGGATGCCAAATGTAGAAGTCCTTATATTCCGGATCATTCTTGGCAGACTTAATAAACCATTCGCATTCATCACTGGAGTGGTTCGGTACAAAGTCCAAAATGATTCGCACGCCCAATTGTTTTGCGTTTGCGAGAAGAACCTTGAAGTCTTCCAATGTGCCATACATTTTGTCGATTTCGGTGAAATTGGACACATCATAACCAAAGTCCGCGTTGGGTGATGTAAAAATGGGCGACAGCCAAGTAGCATCAATGCCGATTTCCCTGAGGTAGACCAGATGTTGGGTAATGCCTACGGTGAAAATTCGATTTGCCAGTTGCAGTAAGGTGCTTTGCGTACGTACTTACCTCTCAAGTCTCCAATGCCATCGCCATCGCTGTCCTTGAAGGAGCGTGGGTATATTTGGTAGAATGAGGCGCTTTTCCACCAAGCTGTGTTTGTTGCTGTACTTGCAGCCGCGGAGAGCAGCGCAAAGAGTGCTAGAAATTTTAGAAAGTTTAGCATCGTTTGATTCAATTGTCTTCTGGACGTAATACTGTGGCGTTAACTGCTGCATTGGCGCTTTTATACATGCCATCGGATCCGCATGATGTTATCGGCGGTCGATAAGGGGCCGTAAAAACTATATACAAGTTGATACGGTACAGTTTTTGGCGAACTTGAGTCGAAAATTTACGAAGTTCGCCTGTAGAAATCTTTAATAGACGCTATGCGTGTGGTAAATGGTTTTAGGTAAACAAGAAATAACAACATTCTCAAGTGGGTAGATAAGTTAAATGATTGTATATAATAAATTATCTTGAAATTTATTACCTAGCTTGTGCTTAGCTTGTTTTCCAATCACTTAGATTGATCGTTTGATAACAAAAAATTTGCAAGTCGGCGCGGTACAGTTTTTAGCGAACTGGAGTGGAATGTTTACGAAGTTCGCCTGTAGAAATCTTTATTAGACGCTACGTGTGTGGTAAACGGTTTAAGGTAAACAAGAAATAACAACATTCTCTAGTGGTTAGATAAGTTAAATGATTGTATATAATAAATTCTTTTGAAAATTTATTACCTATATCCTTTCTAGTTTAAATATAGGTGAAGAGTCTGGCCCATCTAAGGCCTCTCCCAACGCTCCCAAGTACTTACTATGTTCTGAGCTTACCCTTACGGTAATTGTAAGTCTCGAAGTAGCCCAACTATGTCTGCGTAATGGTTTCAGGCCAACAAGGAAGCCTTACCTGATCAGAATATCGACAGCCTCGGTTCTTTCGATCTCACAGTGACCTGGTACCCAGCAGGGCCTTACCGTTTTTCTTGCTGCCAATAGCTGAAGAGAATGGAAATATTTTTTGAGGAGCTTGTAGTTGATTGCCACATTGGATAGGGACCTGATGGGCGCTTGAACGTCTGGAAAGATACATAACTAAGTACTAAAAGGGCGTCGTTAAAGCCCTTTGCGAAAAGTAACTAGAGTTCCTTTCGATTTGAAGAGCTTTCGGATATTCCTTCACCTCCTACGTCCTTATCTATAATGGCCTTTCGCTGGCATTCATTGACATACAATTTCCCTACTTTCTTATTGGAAACTGCGCGATTTCCAAACATGTTTTTCCTTTTAATCCTTTCATGAGTATTTTAGGGAAATTATCAAAAACTTTGCTCCACAGTAATGGTCAGTTATTCCTTAGAAATATATTCTTTCAAGAAACGATGTCTATTAAGAACAACAATTTCCATCACTTCGATGTATTTCGGTTGGGAATCGAACGTAGAATTCGGAACATTGAAATAGGATCGATGGATGATAACTTTCGGTGGTCGGAAACTATTTCTTCCTGCTCATTAGTGGAATTTTGATAATAGCTACACCAAATGTTCGTCGAAAATTCTTTTAACAAAAAACAGTGTGACCTAAAGGCATACAAAATCTAAACGATACTTATGTGGTAGGTTTCGTCAAAGGATGAGGCGAGCTCAGCCGATCTAGAGTCGAGTGAAGGTCCCACTAACCCCCACCAAATAAAACACAATAATTTAGTACCGGCGGGTTGACGTACAGGGAGAAAAGAGAGACGTATTGAGAGAGAGTCTAGCTGGTCGGCGGTCGCTCTTGTGGCGACGGTGAGAGCGGCGACGGCCGTGAAGGCGACATGCACCCAACGTACTGGTGAGAGAGACAATGAGAGCGGCTACGATGATCGTGACGGCAGCAACAGTCCCCCTGTCGTGGTTTTCGTGGACCCGGCGGCCCGCCTAATGGCGGTGATGGCGTCAGCGGCCCTGGATGACGATGGTAATGCTAGAAGTCCTGGTAGGTGGCAGTTCTCGGCAACGGTTTCGGCCTAGGGGCGGCAAGAGTGTCGGCGGTCCAAATGGTCACCTACGAAAGCTGATCGGTTAGTGCGGCACCAAGGCAGCAAAAGCAGTCCATTCCTCCCCTATTTACTCAATCGTGGCTGGTTGGCACTAGGGCGGTATTCTAAGTGCTATGTGAGAAGTAGATGCTGCAACTGCTATTCTTTTGGAGATTTTGGCGATAAAGCTAGCGATATCGAATGTAGGAATCCGGCTGCAGCTCTCTATCCATCGGATCTTTTCTTTGAACTGATAAAACGGCATGAAAATATCCTCCGAAACCCCACAAAAGTTCGTATACTTTTTTATGGGGATAGAGTCCTGCATTGGATCTCAGTGTTACATATCTGGATTTGTAGTGTGTTTGTTAATCCAGTTTTAGAGGGAAATTGTAGTATATCTTACGTTTTGGGCATCATTCCAAAATGTGTATTAGACATGTTGCATAGATTATCGTAGTAGTGATTTCGGTGAGCTTTTCTCCTTGTTTCGATAAGATAGAAAGTGCCTTATTTCCTGGTTGCCAGAAGACGTGCGGACCTATGAAAGAGGTTGGTGGTCCTTACTTTGCGAGTTTATCGGCAATCTCGTTTCCTTTATGAACAATGTCACCTGGAACTAGGGTTGCCAGATCTTGAAACGGAGAAAGGAGTACATTTATATTTTCGATAGAAAAAAAGCAGTACATGACATAAAAAAATCGTTTTCAAAGCAACAATAAATGTGTAAAATAAATAACTATATGGGTTGGCTTTCCAATAGGGACGGTGAACGTGGCACCTTTTCCGACCTTTTTGGAGAGGGCATGAACCGCCATTGACAAAAATGTTACTCCCGACCACCTAGGGTCCCTACGGGACCCCTTAGAAATATTGCCAAAAGTCACAATTTCCACTTGCGTCCACAGTATTTTTGCGTAGAATTCGGTTCTCAATGACCGCCCTTATAGGAAAGTTTCCACAACTACAAAACTAAAAACTACAAAAGAATTCCAGACTCTTCCTGAATGTATGGCCATTTTATTAATTTAAGCCTTATAATTAATTTAATATTTTTCTGATTTTTATACCCGAGCGCCCTGCCCCTAAGGGCATGCTTACACCTTTTCACTATCACCCTTAACTTTTCTTACTAAGTAGTGTTTGCCACAATATGAATGGCAACGTCCAGCGCGTAAAATAATAACCGTCGCACAGGTTTTTTGAAAAATAAAAGGGTTCTTTATAGATTTTGTGTTTTTTTTTTTGTTAACTTTGTAAATATTTTACTTCAATTTTATTAATTGGTTTTAAAATTTTAATCCGGATTTGCATTTGCCAGCTTTGGGAGATGAGTACATGCTGCACGAAGCTCTTTTTCAGGTGTATTTTTTCTTAGATTTTGTATAAAAAAAAAGAAAAAAAAAACCTGTATAGGGTTGGTCGAATGAATGCCCTCCTAGTCACCAGCTTCGAGTCTTTTCGATTGCTGAGTATGAGGCCTTATGTTGGACAAACGACGGAGTATAAAGGACCCAAATGGAGGAAATTAGCCTATGGTTACAGAAGGTATGTAATAAAGTAACCGACGAAGACTTGCGCTTTTCTCCCAAACCCCCTGGTAAACCCAAATGAAGGTTGAAATTTAAAAACAAATTAACAAAATTTAAAATCTGTGGATAATTTATTTTTCAAAAAAAAAACTGCAACAGATATTATTTTACACACTGTATATGATAAAATATTAATAGCTGGAAAAAGGAGTACAAAAGAAGTACAAAGCGAATAAAGGAGTACATTTCCAGATATTTTTTTTGGAGTACAAGGGAGTACATTGCAATAAAAAGGAGCACGTTTACTCCCAAAAGCAGTACGTCAGATAATATAAACTCGATTAGTCAAGCCAAGGGATTTCAGCTTACTTAGGCACCCCATCTCCGATTTTGATGTTACCTGATGGGATCTGAGGCCCTTAATTGTCGCTTGGCTGTCCGCCAAGGTTGGAATGTTCTGGTTCAGGTTGCGCTTGATATGTAACTTGGGACATCTTTAAATTGAGATTTCTACACAAATGTACTCCCTATACGATCTAACGGTTAATACAAATTTCAACTTTTAATATTTTTCATCTAGGTACTGATCTTTAATTTATGTATGTGCATTATTTGTGATCGTTTCTAAATAGAGGCCCAAAAATCGCAATGCTTTTTCTTACTTATTTAACATTAATGAAAACTATTCCATTATGGAATGCGCAATGTCGTCTAAAGAAAACGAATGTTTTTTGTTTTTGACTAACAGAGATTTCTTGACATCGCTTGTTCTTTATTTACATCGGTATTCTACTAAATATCTTGTTAAAGTTCATCACAAATTTATAAAAATATTTACAACAATTGCTTCCAAAATTTACATATTTCCTTGCTACAATACAACCCTGTATAACCTTAAACTAAATATTGTTCTAAAACTTCCACCGTTCGACTAAATCACCACATCAGCCTCTCTGCCCTCTGGCTCGTCGTTCAGCGGCTCCACCCGCAGTCTGATCACATTCTGCGGCTTCGTCATCAGCCGCGTGCGGTCTACACTAAAATGATACCGCGTAATCAGCTGTGCCAAGAGTAGTCGCATCAGCAGCTGAGCGAATTGCAGACCAATGCAGCTGCGTGGTCCTTCGCCGAAGCCTAGCCATATGCAGAGGTCACGTCGCTTATTGTCGGTGCGGCCGAATCGTTCAGGCTTGAACATAAACGGCTCCGGATAATATTCGGCGTCGTTGTGTATGGCATGCGTGGGCACGATGATGAACATATTTTTGGGTAGCGCATACTTGTCGTTGTTTGGCACCGGGAAATCGGTGAGCGTGCGCCGTATCAGGTAAGGCACCACCGGATGCAGGCGTATGGTCTCTGAAAAATAAAACAATTTTATTAAGTTACCGTTATGTCTCAGCGCAAATAAACGACACTAACCTGATATGACTTGACCCATAAACTTAAGTTCGCGTACACAATCGTAAGTGAGCTCATTGTTGTGCCGCTGCAGCGCTTCCGCCACCTCATCACGCAGCTGTTGTTGTATTGGATCGTTCAATGCCAATTCGTATAGCACATATGTGAGTGTGTGTGTGGTGGGACGCAGTCCTGCCTTGAGGAAGGAAATAGCATGCGAGGCTAACTCTCCCATTAAGTGCTCCTTCAGCTCCTTCATGGTCTGATCCTCAACCTCGTGTGTACTCAGCTCCTGTTGCATTAAGTTCACCAAAAGTTGTAGGTAGTCGTGTTTCTCAGTAGCGCTCTGCTCACGCTCGCTCACCACCTCAGTGATTAGGCCAATGAAATAGTTTTCCACATCCCTGCAAGTGGTACGCAACTTAAGCCTCTTACCCAGCCTGGGATATCGCCGCAAGAACGCATTAGCAAATTCGCTGTGACGTGATGTTGTATTCTCTAGATGAGTCATATCATCGAAAACGTTCAGCGGATACTTTTGCTGCCGTTGTGCGTTCAAATCGAAAACACAAACTGCCAAGCTGGTTAACACAAAACGGCGCATTTGTGTGCGTATCTCTATGTAACCGCTATGCGCGCGCTCTTCTCTCACCAGCTGATCGAAGCTCTCCAGCCATTCCGCGCACGTTGCCCGCAGCCCATCGTACAGGTGGCGCAATTCATCTTTGGCAAAAATCGGCTCCAGTCGCAGTCGCATCTCTTTCCACTCGCTACCACGTCTGCTATACAAGTCGGCAGAGAGCGGATCGTGTTTGCTGTTGTGATAGATGCCGCGATCATTGAAATTCGAGAAGTTCTTGATCAGTATCTGCATAATCAACTCGCGATCGAGTATGAGAGCGCGCGGCTGCATGAGGCGATAGAAACCGCAAAAGGGACCCTGACCTTTGAAATTGCGGTACAGCTGATCGTAGTGCTCCAGTTCCTGCCATTCCAGTGTTGTGCGCAGGCCAAATAGATGCTGTAGAATTTCAAACTCCGGCGCAGGAGGTTCGAATGGCACATGGTGCATACGCCAGTAGTTACGCTTGTAGAAGATGTAAATAAGCGGCGTGATGACGAAGATTATGAGGACGGTAATCACAATGGCCACAATTAGCCATACCCACCACATTTTAAAATATTTCTTGCCAACCTTTGTGGAATTTCGAATGACTTAATGTCCGTTCAAGGGCACGCACTCATAAAAAAACACCAAAATAATTTAGTTAAAGTACTTTCTGTTATCTCGTATTTATGTACTCATGTGAGTGCGCGCACACCGCACCTCCGCCGCTCAACACTTTTTGCGCTTATTAAAATCGTGCGGTAAACTTCACTTTCAATAAGTTTTTAGCGCTGCCACTCGGCGCGCGTTTCAACCGCTTACTAAGCGTTTCCTATACCCAAGTATTTTACTCGTACTCCACTGTGCGCTCACGCTTTTCCAGCGGAGTCAGTTGTAGAGCTTTTTTTCGTTTAGCGGACGCCTTACGTACTCGTTCTAATACATTTTTTTATCAGCGTAATTACAGGTGAGCATTTTTAAATAAGCTCATATTTTTTAATTGTTGTATTAGGGTACGCCGAGAATTCGGTGCGGTTGAAATGTGGCTGTGTGCGCTGTGTGGTAGTTTATTGCACTTACACAACGAGTTCAGTTGAAGAGCGGCACGTCGGAAAAAGACTGTAACTCCCAAAAGTGCTGGAGAATAAATTTGAACAGCGTTTTGTTTTCGTAGCATTTCAAACAACAATGCGAAACTCAGCTAACCAAAAATGCATTGACTTCAACTAGCTGAGCGTTAACATATAGACAGTGACTAATTCAGGCGTTTGCCTACGTAAATATTTACTTTTGTCAGCTATGAAGTGCCGCTTCTATTCTGAAAGTATCGAAAAAGTACAATGCATTTTCGCTTAGCCACTATTCCTAGTGAGGCGATATTATTAGTAGCTACCGGTAATTGTCTAACTTAAAAAGACGAAAAGCTCAGCAAGATCGATATAAACTGCTGCAACCAACACATGCTCAACAATAGACGATTTTTAAGGCTTGCTATAGACTGACGTTGTGGCTGAGTGGTTAGAGGTGCTTACACTCCGTTGGCCCTGAGTTCGACTCCTGGTACAAGCTAGATTTGAATTAGAAAAGGTTTTTTTCTAACAGCGGTCGTTAGACGGCAGGAAACGGAAAACCTCCACGTGTATGTACTCCTACCATGAAAAAGCTCTATTTGAGGCTCGGAGGCGGCGTAAAACTGTAGCTTCCTTTAGTTTTGTAAAAATTTCAAGATTGGAGGAGAAGCTCGTCCAAATATGTACTTAGAAAACTTGTAAGCGTAAAAAATATCATTATTAATATTATAGATTTTATATGGAAGCGCACAGAGTAAAAGCCCACTCAGATCGTCACTGACAGAAAGTCTATGGAAAGCTTAAAAAAGCTCTGCGCGCTTAGAGTACTTTCACTGGTGTAAATCGGTGATGTACATTGTCTTTCTCGCATACAGAGCTTTTTTAGCTTTCTATAATCTTTATCTAGAACATTCACGACCAAAAACTATTCCGCGTTAGAAGCTTTATAAAGGTTTCTATAGCTTTTACTTATATGAACGCGCAAGTAGCAAAATCTCACTGTGATCACCATTGACCTAGAATCGGAATGTAATCCCGAAAGGCAGTGCTTAAACGCAATTTATATTTATTGAAAAGTTTTCATAAACCATAACAATTAATTTGTTCTTACTTTTTAAGTTTGCAGTTATATTTTTGATTCATATCTTTTCAATTAAACAATTTTATTAAGCTTGAGGCAGTTTTTGGTGAAAAATGTTGAGGAAAAACAACAATAATTTATAAATGGTCGAAATTATAGCTGCTATTTGGGAGATCGTCACATCTCCTCATTAGACTTCTTCACCGAGTTCACTGGGACTTGAACCAGCAACTCCAGCGTTCAAAGCCTGCCTTCTTATAGCCCAGTTATGCATACTTACATTGATATACCATTTTTACGTAAAAATCAAAACCAAAGAGAATTCTACATGTTAAGTGCTATGCGTTGGGTGACCGCTTACACGCAAAGCCCATTTAACAGATTCGCTCATGCAACGCTAAGTATGCATAACTGGGCCATGTAAATTGTTATTGCTTTTTCCATTTTTCATTCTTTCAATCCAACTACAATCAACTATTCAGACTTGCGTTTTTAAAGGTTTTATTAAGCCATATTGTTATTCCCTAAATTTACTGTTCTTATTACTGAAAGTTCCATCTCTGCCGATTTCCACGCACGTGCAACGTTAATCTATTTTTAAAAAGCATATCTCTCACCTTATCAAAGATGATAGCGATAAGCCTGAAAATTGTGAATTTAAAGATAATACTGAAAGTAAAAATTACGTATAGTTTTTATAACGAAAATAATTAGTTTGTTTCGACAGGTATTTTTGAATGGTTTTAGAGCTTTTTAAAAAAGCTCAGATTATACATGTTTAGAGAATTTTTCAATTACATTTACTATGGCTTATCTGGTAAGGGGGAAATATCTCTTGGATAATGCTATGTTTTCACGAGTACCATAATAAGCGCCAATGCTTACTTTTTAATTCACAAATTTATAATTCCCCTAAAAAAGTGCTCTGAACTAGAATTTACGACAGAGTTTCAATCATTCGTGAAGTGAGAACCCGCTATAAGGGTGTTGTTTAAGAGAAAATCTTCCTAGATAACATTTCCTTCAATGATTTTCGATTTGATTCCTTTTTTAGCAATTATTTCGCTTGCCATCACTTTGCTTTCCGCAAATTTTATTCAACACCACACATTATTATTTATTATTTATATTACATACATATGTACATACTATTAGGTACGTGATAGCGAATAAATATATTAAATATGATAAATAATAATAATGTACCGGGGCTTGGCATTATTTGTGTTAACTTTTTAATGCAATCAATAACGCCAGTCAACTTATCAGTCGACACATAGTTTTTTATTGTTTTTTTTTTTAATAAGGAATTCGCTGATTGCTGCTCATAAAATACGAAAGCTTGTGTGGCTTTGAGGCATTCGTATTAAAACAGAGAGTAAAATAAAGAAAAAAAACAAAGACCGTTTTCGTGTGTATGTTTACATATTTACATATTTTGTATTTTCATTTGTATGTATGTATTTACGTAAGTGTCAATGAGAGCGTCATTGCAAAATTTAATGAAGCGGAATAATGAATTGAACTTAAATGGAATGCTTTTAATCGTCTTGTTAAAGCGATGGGGGCATTCATAGAGCAGCGCAAAACAAGCGAGAGCGAGTAACTGAAATTCTACATTTTGTGGAGAGTTAAATAGTTATACAAATTTCATTATTAATTTTTAATATTTTCTATTCTATTGGTTTAATTTCGTTTCTTGTGTCTTCATTTAATTTCATTTCATTTCATGGCATTCCATTCCATTACATTTTTTTTCACTTCTATTTCGTTTCATGTCATCTCATCTCATCTCTTCGTCGTTCTATTTTACTTCGTTTCATTTCATTTCACTTCCTATGACTTCATTTCCCTTTATTTCATTTCACTTCATTTCGCGTCACTTCATGAACACACCCATCCACAATGACTATGCGTGCTATCTCATCGATAAATTCTTTTGTAAACATACTTGGCACTGTTCAAGGCTCTTATCTGAAGAAATATACATACATATATATTTCTCATATAATTGCATGCATGCCAACAACTCGGCTTAACATTTAATTGTGCATTTATGATTGTAAATCAAGTTTCAAGTTTTTGTGGTCAGTAACAAAATAGGCACACAACCTTGCAGCGCTCTCAACGTTTTGCAGTAAGCGCAGCACGCGATTCCCAAGAAATTCCCATTGTGCGGCTTCGATTACACTAAGCTCTCTTATTTAGTCATTGTTATTAGTACATTTGCACTTGCATCGCCTTGCCGAAGATCAGTTGTTCAAGAGCCGGTAAACTATAAAAATGTCTGTGTTTGCAGTTCTTTTAGCCGCGCTATTGGCGCTACTCTCGTTTCTGTTCTACTTGCTGCGTCGCCGCATGAACTATTGGCGCTACCAAGGCATACCGCACGATCGACCACACTTTTTCGCTGGCAATCTGAAGGGTTTGTTGAAGACGCGCAACTTTGCCGAAATTTTACTGGAATTATACACGCGTCATAAGGGAACGGGTCCCTTCTGCGGTTACTACCTGTTTCAACGTCCCGCCGTGCTGGTGCTGGACCGGGCGCTCGTGAAGAGTATACTCATCAAGGATTTTAATAATTTTGCCGATCGTGGCCTTTTTCACAACGAAAAGGATGATCCACTCACTGGCCATCTATTTCGCTTGGATGGCAATCAGTGGCGAGGATTGCGTAGTAAGCTTACGCCCACTTTCACTTCCGGCAAGATGAAATTCATGTTTCCCACCGTATTGAAAGTGGGCGATCAGCTGATGGCTGCGGTGGCGAAACGTTTCGCTGAGGATGAGCATGTTTGGGACTGGAAGGAGATGATGGCGTGCTTTACCACCGACGTGATTGGCAACTGTGCCTTCGGCATTGAGTGTAACAGTCTGCAGGATCCCCATGCTGAATTTCGTGTTATGGGCCGCAAGATAATTGGGGCGCGTCGTCATGGCGCGCTTGTCAACGCTTTCATCAACAGCTTTCCGAATGTGGCGCGTCGCCTGCGCATGGCCATCATGCCACAGGATATAACCGATTTCTTTCTGCGCATCGTGCACGAAAATGTTGAGTTTCGTGAGCGAAATCGTGTGCATGCCAATGACTTTATGAGCATTCTTATGGATTTGAATAAGGGCAAGCATTTGAAAAGCGAAAGTGATGTAGCATGCGCACTTAGCGTGAGCGAGATGACCGCACAGGCGTTTGTTTTCTTCGTGGCTGGCTTCGAGACTTCAGCGACAACTTTGGCATTCGCGCTGTACGAGCTGGCGCTGCATCCGGACATACAGACGCAGCTGCGTACGGAGATCGAAGAGACCATTCGAAAACATAATAACGAGTTCACCTACGAGTGCGTGGAGGATATGCAATACATGAAACAGGTGCTAGCGGGTGAGTAAAGTGAGCGTTGATTAAAAATGTGATGTGCGACATTGTATTTTTTCTGCCGCAACAGAAACACAGCGGAAATATCCGATCGCGCCGAATTTAATGCGCCAAGCAGCCAAGGACTATGTGGTGGCAGGCCATCCGAAATATGTTATCAAGAAAGGCATGATGGTCACCATACCGACGATTGGCATACACTACGACCCTGAAATATATCCGGATCCAGATAAATTCGATCCATCGCGTTTTGCGCCCGATGCGGTGAAGCTGCGCGACAGCGTCGACTGGTTGCCCTTCGGCGACGGTCCGCGTAATTGCATCGGCATGCGCTTCGGACAGATGCAGATGCGCATCGGTCTGACCTACCTGCTGCGCCAGCTTAAGTTCTCTCCCTGTGAGAGGACACCAATCCCAATTGTTTACCAGAAATCTTTTCCACTATTTCCACAAGGCGGCATATTTTTGAGAGTGGAAAAGGTTTGACGTACCGTACTGATACATACATAGAAAGATATACACACTCATACATATGTACTTATTTGAAAGGGGGTTTCAGCCGGAATATACACAAAAGTATGTGCATGAGGATGGTCCAAAAATGCAGGTGAAAAAAGTAATTCTCATCCCTCTATATCGAAAAGATATACCCCTGCTTTTTAATTAAAAAAAAACAAGTTTTCGTAGAAATGGTACAGAATTCTTGAAAATAAATATTTTTTCATCGGAAAACTCTGCTTCTCTTCAGGAGACTTCCATTAATCAAACCCAATCGTTTATTTTACCCTTTTTTAATACTAGCGATTTTTTATGGATTACCCCCTTGCATTTTTGGGGGTTTTAGAGACTCATAAAAATAGTTAATATTAAAAAATGGCTGATAAACAATTGGGTATTATTATTGGAAGACTTTTGTAGAGAAACAAAGCTTTCCCATAAAAAAATATTGATTTTCAGAATTCTATACGATTTCGAAGAACAGGTTTTTTCCTTATAAAATACATGGAAGACTTTGAGTGCTTTGAGCGACTTCTAAATAGTTTTTGCAATCAAAATAAAAAAATGAATTTTTTTCGGTATAGAGGCATCGTAAGGGGTGTGAGCATTAAAATTCGGACTCCACTTTTTTTTGGACCGCCCTAATGCACATATGTATGTATGCTTTTTCTATATTATTACTTAGAAATAGTAATCATGGGGAAATAACGAAACTGCAATTCTCACATTTGTTCTAGTCAAAATATTATTCGAGCCGTTACTGACTTAAAACTTGTTCAAATGTACATACATACATACATAATGCATACATAAATTTATAAATACTTGCATGGACTGCATTGGATTATTCTCGGAAACGATAACTCACACACATACAAGGCTTGCGTGTTTTGTTGGAGTGGACTTAAATTGTGTCAATACTACATATATACACCTATATGTAACATACTCGTTTGTTTTGCGAAAAATAAATAAATACAATTTATTTTCTTTGAAGTAAAAAAAATGCTTAAATGAAAAATTTAAATATACTTGCATTCCTTGCCTTTCGATTGTTGCGAGCTACGCACGTTGAGTTAAGTGTACGATTTGAAATTAAAATTTGAATGCAATTATAATGGGTGTCTGTTTCTGGTTGTGAGAATTTTCGTAAAAAAAAAACAAATTTTAAATGTAAGAACTGTGGTGTTCTTGTAAATTTTATATGACCAGGGCAAGCTATAGAATTTTTGAATTTTTATAATAAGTTCTTATATTATTAATTTTGCTTAATTGAAATTATTTTACTAAAAATCTTTTGTAGCACCTTCAATAGAGATGCTCTTATTTAAGCGATACCTTTTGTTATTTCTTAGTAAATTTAAGGGGTTTTTTCAATAATATAAACAAAATATGTTACATTTTCAAGCCGTTTAATTAACAACGTAATTTATTTTTGTTTTTTAATATTTAGTTTAAGTAATAGCACATTTATTTTTTTATGGACACAAAAAAAGAATTTATCGATGCCATTATCATTATCGTTTTTTAACAGTTATCGATTCGGCCTATTTACTTCGTATTCGCATTAATTTTGTTAAGGTTTTTCTCATTATTATTTTTACCATAATAGTAATCGATATTGTTATCGATAACATTATCGCCGTTTGAAGCGAAAAAACCCCATCCAATAAGAATATATATTTTGATGTCGATAAATGGTTGTAGATTCTGTGCACCAAGCTGTCTCCGGCCCACCACCGTATATGGTGTTTACATGAGGCGATTATACAGGCAACTTTTATTTGGAAACAAAAATTGCCTGGTGGGAACGGCCTTTCAACTAATCGCTTCCAATGAAGTTGGGGTGCAGCCAACTTTTGATTGATCTTATCGCCTCTAAAATTACCTGGAAAATTACCTCATGTGAACACTGTTTTAGCTTCACCCCGTTAACGCTGTGCATTTAGGCTTGCTACAGACAGGCCCGCTCGATTTTAACCTTTTCAGGAAAACTGTGAATGAAAGGCGGCAGCTTCAAGGAAGGAGCGCTGTAATTTTACAGGGCAAAGTCCAAGCTTGATGGAAGCGTTGCTGGCGGTGTCTCTGCTCATTAAATCTCCCATGAACACAAAGGCCATATAGCTAAAATCATGATAAAAACATTACAAGGTAAATGCATTCTCTCATTTCGTCGGCCATGATTTTTTTCTGACGTTTGCCAACATTTTAAAATCATATAAAATTGAAAATAAAAAAATTAAATTGTTCACAATTGTTGTTGATTGAGATTGAAAATGAGAAATGTGTGTGTGAGTTTGAGTTTTGATTTTAAAATTATATTGTTGGCAAACGTCAGACTGCCTCTCAATGGTTTTACCTTGTTATGTTTTTATCATGGGTAAAATATTTCAGGCAGACGTAGTTGCCATGAAGAAAGTTGGCTACTGGCTCTTAGCTGTGTAACGTCGATAGCTCAGTGCCAATCACTCGCTCCCGGCGCGCAAAATTTTTTTGGCATATGTATGTCTACTTAGGCTTAGCATATGGCTAACAGGTTCCAGTGATGTTGCAGGAAACTGCCTAGTGAAAAATCCGGTTAGGGAAGGCACCCTCGAGCTGGTGTTAGCGATTAAAGAGAAGGTGGGACGGTTTGTACTGTTTGCCGACTACTCTTGCACAGATAGGGCCCACACCAGCTAGGCAGATGATGGGCGAAAACGGGAACATGTGGAATCGTAAGATTTTTTTCTGCAAATGGTGGAGCGCGGACGGTAAAGCTAGCTTCTTAGACACCCAAGGGCTATAAGAATTCATGAAGTAAGACTAACACAGCAGATCAGTAGTCCTGACTTCTGGGACTGTCACTTATAAACTTCTTGTCAAGTAGCGATTTTTGTCATAGTTTAGTAATTAGAGCAGAAAACCACATTAGCATCAAACATAATTCAAGACTCAGAGAAAACGTTCCAGTTGGTTAATTTTGATTCATTTATTTCCATACAAATTTGTATGCTAGTTCAACCTTATGTATTGACGCTTGGCTTTTCAACTCACAAGCTGATAGCGAGGCTTTCACCACGGCGAGAATATCATCACTAGCTGGCATATGATTAGCAACTATAAGCCTGATTATGGCAACTTAACTTAACTTAACGGAACGTAGAACTTCAAAAATTTAAATGAAACAGATTACGTTAAATTTCGGCTGTTCAATTATAAGCAACATCCATTTAAGAGAATGCTTAAGTGAGAGCCGACAAGTAACGTTAAGTTGCCATAATCAGACCATAAACATTGAACCAATTACCTTTTCGAAAAACTAATACAGCATCAAACAAATTTTTGTATACATATGCACTCTTTTAGCAAACAACGGAAAGGCAAACTACTGAAATATTTTACTTTACTAATTATGTATGTATGTTTGGTATTTGCAATACTTGTTTTTATACATAGTTGTGCGACATAATGACGTCGTTTTGCTTGCAATACGTTCTGGTCGGTGTGCTCAGATGCCCAACCTGTCTGCAAATCGGTTCGCTTGCTTCAAAGCGATCTCATTAAAATGCCAGACAAGCGCTCAGGCCACAAGTGGCGGTTCGCGTGGCTGCTTACTTCGTAGCGCGCAATTTCCATCGGCTATATAAAGGCGACGAGCCGGTCGTAGCGCTATTATTTCTTACGCTCAGCTTGTGATGTGTACATCTAAGTTTAGTTTATTTATCTGCTGTTTTTACTGAATTTCACAATGCCATTGACGCTGGTGTTAGTTGCTTGTGTATCGGCTTTCATTTCGACTGTCGCATATTTATTTTGGCGCCGTATGAACTATTGGCGGCAACGCGGCATACCACACGACGAGCCTAGCTACCTATATGGCAGTTTTCATCGTCTGACCAAGGCGTTTGGTTACTCCGAGATCTTGCGTTCCATGTACGAGCGCTTCAAGTACAGCGGTCCATTCTGCGGCTATTATTTCTTCCAACGTCCCGCGGTGATGGTCTTGGATATGGAACTTGTCAAGAATATACTGATTAAGGACTTTGCGAACTTCAGCGATCGTGGTTTGTTCCACAATAAGAGGGATGATCCGCTAACGGGTCACTTGTTCTTCGTGGATGGTTCAAAGTGGCGTATACTGCATGGCAAACTGTCGCCAATATTCTCCGAATATAAAGTGCGTGGCATGTTTCCGTACGTTCGTAATGTGGCACTGCAAATGGTGGATGTGCTTAATGAACTGGTAAAGCGCGGCAGTAGCATCGAAGTGAAGGAGCTGATGGGCCGCTACACCACAGATGTCATTGGAAAGTGTGCTTTGGGTATTGAGTGCAACAGTCTCAAGAATCCGAACGCAGAGTGTCGCACAATTGGACGTCGTATCTCGACCGATCGTCGCCATGGACTGCTGGTGTCTGCTCTGATTGAGGGATTTCCGAAGCTGGCGCGCTTGCTACGCATGGCGGTAACTCATCCGGATATCGAGAAGTTCTTTATGCGCCTGGTGAGGGAGAATGTGGAATATCGGCAGAAGAACAATGTACGCGGCAACGACTTGATGAATCTGCTGATGGAGCTGAGTAAGAGTAAAAATTTAAGGTATGATGAAAATGATGAATTTAAGGGTCTGACTGTGGAGGAGATGACAGCGCAAGCGTTTTTCTTCTTTGCTGCAGGTTCCGAAAAATCATCAGCGACGCTTTCATATACTCTGTATGAGTTGGCACTGCAACCCGAGCTGCAGGAACGGCTACGCTGTGAGGTCAATGAGACGCTGGAACAGCACGACAATGAGCTCACCTATGAGTGTCTGAATGAGATGCAATATATGAAGCAGGTATTGGCAGGTGAGTGTGTGCAATTAAAAAATGAATGACAACTATTAGAATACGTGCAATCTACAGAAACGTTGCGTAAGTATCCGGTGTTACCGCACCTAGCGCGTCAGGCGCTTCACGACTACGTGGTACCCGGCCATCCGAAGTATGTCATACCGGCAGGAATGTTAGTGACAATACCCGTAGTTGGCATACATTACGATGCTGAAATTTACCCGAATCCTGAGCTCTTCGATCCGGAACGCTTCACGCCGGAGAGGATGAAGCTGCGTGAAAAGATCGAGTGGCTTCCATTTGGCGATGGACCGCGCAAGTGCATCGGCTTCCGATTTGGTCACATGGAAATGAGCGTGGCATTAGTATATCTGATGCAGCACTTTCGCTTCTCTGTGAGCGCGATGACCAAGTCCGGTAAGAGGCTACCAAAAAATGGCATTTTCTTGAAGGTTGAACGAGTTTAGCGCACGAAATTAATTTTTTAGTGAAATTTAGGTTTGTAAGTTTGGAGACGTCTTTGGAAAAGTAGTTTTATATTTTTCTTCAAAAACGTTTTTTGACCAAAATTAATTTATTTATCATGGGCTTATGCGATTTTCCTAATGCCTTTACTGTGTAAATTTATATTTTAGGGAGCCCATGTATCGACAAAAGTACAAATAGTAACTGTAACTGTGATCTACAAGAGTGTTAAAGCATTTTTGGCTTTGTTGAATCGCCGACTGCCGAATTATTTGCGAAATCTTGAGATTTTGAGATAAGTTGTGAGAATTTTTGTAGTTTAAAATTTCTTAGACGCAAATTCGTATTTGGAAGTGGATTTTTGCAAAGTTTTTTGTTAAATATAAATTTTTTGGTTGATTAACAATTTTATTTGTTAAGTGAGCTTGAAAGCACAATTTCTATTGTACACCTATTTCGTATTTTAAAATAAATTGTATGGAAATATTTTAATAAAAGTGAGATTATACATATTAAGAATGAGTGTTTTTGTTTCGTTGGTATTGGTGGATTTTACAGACAAGGTAGGAAAATGATGTACATATGTATGCATATATTTTGCATGGAACGGACGTTTGAGAGAAGGCGCCATGGAACTCAAAGCAAGGGCTGCAGTGAGTAGTCTTACATAGACGAATATAATGTCAACGGCGTTGTCAGATGCGTTTACGACCTATGAATCAATGCTTTCACGCAATGTTAAGGAACACTGCCGTCATTTTAGCGAATTTCAATAGACACTTTGACCATTTGTCGGTTACTGCTCGTAGGCTCTGCAGCTATACCTTCCCGAGTAACGCGAGTCTGAACTTGCACACTCGCAAATTATATGCTTCACGGTTTCCACGTGATAGTTACATTTCCTATATTTTTTGTCCTCTATTCGACCTAATTCAAATGCATGCGCTCTTAGCAAACAGCGCTCTGTTAGCAACACTATCAGGAGCCTCGAGTCTTTTTTTCTTGTTGATATTAGTAAATCAGTAAGTTTGCTATCGTAGCCTATCCGCTTTTTGGTACACGAGCAGATCTTGTGATCTTTTGATTTCTCCAAGAGGAATTCGTATACACGTCATTAGTGAGGCGTCTAAGAGGACGCCCTCCTTGGCTAGATCATCAGCTCTCTCATAACCTTCCACACTCTTGTGTTCTGGCACCCAATATACATTGGTGGACGGTTTTAGCCATAGCTAGCCTTCTTATAGCCTCCTTACTAGTCCGCGACGATGATCGAATTTATTGCATATGAAAGAAGAGTCTTAATGGCTGCCTGACTGTCTAAGTAAATGTTTATTTGCTCGCTTGTCGGGTTAATTTCAGGTAGTATCTCTTCCTCGTCCTTAACAGCAAAGACCTCGGCTTGATAGATACTGCTGTGGTCTGGTAGCCTAAAGAACCTATGAATAACCGGTTTAGTGCAATATACTGCAGACGCTACTCCTTCGTCCATCTTGAAACTGTCTGTGTCCAAGAGGTAGCACGCGAACAAAGTTTTCCTTACATATCGCACACCATCTTCAAAAGAGTCGCCACTCAAAATTTGACCTTTTTGAAATTATGAAGTTAAAATGTACACAGAGCTTTTATTTACCTTTCAGCAAAAGCTGGAACAAATTTTTGTTATAATTTTGTTAAAAAACCCTAATGTAAAGTCGCCCTTGCCCATATGATTTGCATGTGCTACGAAATAGTTTTTCGTATTTTCTGACGAACGCACTATTTTGAGTTGTGACTCATCAGAATTTTCGTACTAAGGTTGCTTAATACTTTCCAGCATAAAAGGTAGATTACGCAAATACCCTCTCCATTGCCACTCACCATTTTTCCGAATGGGTAGTCTTGTCTTAGTTGTGGGAGGAGAGGCGAGGAGAGGCAACGTATATGGTATGGAAGACGACTACTTTACTTATACTGCACGACAAGCTCTCTAACTTACGCAAAATAGAGAGAGCTTTCATCAAATATGCTTAGTATTGCTATCGCCACTGTCATGGAGATTAATTGAGAACTGAATTAGTCTCATTCTAACAAAAAGAAGCAAGTTCTTTTATAAATATATAACTACGTTTCGTAGGTGTTATAGCCAGAACACAATGAAAACGACGAGGAGCTACGGACCGCAGCTGTCAAATTATTTTAACACGTTCTCTTACTAGGTAATTATTTTGGCTACGACAGGCCTACGCGACGACATATAAGGTTCTTCCTCTTCTTTTAAGTCAAACTCATACAAATTCATGATGTCGCTGGCGCGTTCAAAAAAATCATGTCGCCATCGAGAAAGCATTTAGATAATGAAGATAACAAATTGGAAGCTGTGGCTCGTAGCTCGTCGTTTTCAATCCGTTCAGAACTTTAGTTCACGTTCAGGGCTCGTTTGCACTTCATCTACGTCAAATTGAAGTAGCCCAGGACAGCATAACAAGTTACAAGTATGCAACCTGGTCCTTTTAGACCTACTTTAAAACTACGTCCCAGTAGACCACCTGATCCTCAAATTTTTGCAGGGTGTTTATTCGCGTACTGTGGGTTTTTTATGGAAATTCAACAATTGAAAACACATTTACATATATGTCTGCATGTAACTGAGTGCGCAAAGATGCTTTCCACAACTTGTTTCAATCCAGAGAGGGTCAGGGTTCGAATTCCATTGCAGGCAATATGCAAATTAAATTATTATTTTTTTTGGATTTTATCTTGATTATTTACTTCACGGATGCTTTTTCAGAACGAACGCGATCATTTTAATACGCGCGTAGTCGAACTGAATATTTACGGCAATACAGTACTTTGGTCGACGTTTATAGTAAGAAGATCAACTACGTTTCTGATGGATTTTAATATTTTTTCCTCAGTGTAGAATGCTTGAAAAAGTCCGCACGAAAAAATAGCATTTTCCCATGTAAAATGTATGGAAAACTTCAATGTCCGGCGACAACGTAAATATTAGGTGCTTTGAAAATAAAAAAGCTTTTTCGATATTCTTCAGCATGGTTCACCTGGTTGTAGGAATTCTTGGTAATAATAAAGGAACTAAAGACAACAGACTGCAGAGTATCCTCGACCATTAGCTTGCTGGTGACTAACCGATTCACTATTTATCCACTAAAGCTTTTTTTTTGGTTTGTTAATGGCAAAGGTGTACATATCTTGGCCACTCAACTTGAGCAAGAAAATTAAAATAACAGTCTCACTATTAAAATATTATTTACCAGGTCTACATATTGCATCAGACGAAACATAACAAAAAGTCGCTGATAACGATAAAGTTAATAGACTTCTTTAGGAAGCCCGATGACTAATTAAAATTGTTGTAGGATAGTAAAAAATAAACAAAAAAAAAAAAATCCATACGCCAGAGGCATATCTATAAAAGAAGTATGTAAGTAAAATATCTGTAGTAGCGGTCTCCTATGCATTCTATTAGAGAAAATCAAGGGTAATACGATCTAATGGGCATGCAAAGAAATGTAACTGTTGAAAGTTTAAAGCTCTGCTCATTTTTGTTGGCTCTAACTAGTTAAACCGAACGCTGCCTACAGAAATGTGACCTTTTCATTTAAGCGTTCCTGCTCTTCATTAATAAATAGATGTAAAAATCGATATTTCTTTCATTCATAATTTTTTACCGTTTTTATGTTATTCGCACTTGCAGTGATGACACATACTAAACATGCATACACGGGTGTGTATATATATAGAGGGGGGGTAACCCATATTTATCTTATCGCAGTTACTTGCAATTCTCCGCTAAAGTACAATGCAAAAGTTGTCAAGTCACTGGAATTGATATTGCTACAAGCACGCTACGTCTACCAGCTGAAAAATGCTTTAGATACTAAATGCATACATATGTACATATAACGGGTGATTTTTTTGAGGTTAGGATTTTCATGCATTAGTATTTGACAGATCACGTGGGATTTCAGACATGGTGTCAAAGAGAAAGATGCTCAGTATGCTTTGACATTTCATCATGAATAGACTTACTAACGAGCAACGCTTGCAAATCATTGAATTTTATTACCAAAATCAGTGTTCGGTTCGCTTTACGTCCGATTTATGGTCTACATAATCGACCAAGTGAGCAAACAATTAATGCGATTGTGACCAAGTTTCGCACTCAGTTTACTTTATTGGACATTAAACCAACCACACGAATGCGTACAGTGCGTACAGAAGAGAATATTGCGTCTGTTTCTGAGAGTGTTGCTGAAGACCGTGAAATGTCGATTCGTCGCCGTTCGCAGCAATTGGGTTTGCGAAACACATTTCGAACCGAACACTGATTTTGGTAATAAAATTCAATGATTTGCAAGCGTTGCTCGTTAGTAAGTCTATTCATGATGAAATGTCAAAGCATACTGAGCATCTTTCTCTTTGACACCATGTCTGAAATCCCACGTGATCTGTCAAATACTAATGCATGAAAATCCTAACCTCAAAAAAATCACCCGTTACAAGTGTTGTTTTGTCTAACCTGCTAGTTCATGTTAGGCGCGCAACTAAACACCATCTAATAATTTTTGCCACAATGGCAGTGACGGAAATTTTATTAAGTATTTTTCTCGCGCTTGTCGCTGGCGTCTTTTATATTACACGTCGCAATTTGACTTACTGGCAAAGGAAAGGCATCCCTTGTGATCCGCCAGATTGGCTATTTGGTAATCTTAAGGGTTTGATGAAAACAGTCAGCTTTGCCGAAGCTTTCACAAGAATCTATAAGCATCATCTGGGTACGGGTCCTTTTTGTGGTTTTTACTTCTTTCAAAGGCCAGCCGTTATGGTTTTGTCCCCCGATTTGACAAAACAAGTGCTGATTAAGGACTTTAGTAATTTCGTTGATCGCGGTAATTTCAGCAATCCAAAAGATGATCCACTCTCTGGACATTTGTTTGCGCTTGATAGCCAAAAGTGGCGTGTTATGCGCAACAAACTATCGCCCACTTTTACCTCCGGCCAAATGAAATACATGTTTCCCACGGTGACTGCGGTAGCTGAGCGATTCGTGGAAACCTTAGACGGTGAGCTCGCAAAGAGCAACGTTATCGAGATTAAAGACATCATGGCGCGTTTCACCACCGATGTGATTGGATCGTGCGCTTTTGGCATTGAATGCAACAGTCTGAAGGATCCGGATGCCATATTTCGTAGAATGGGACGTAGCGTTCTCACTAATCGTCGGCATTCGAACTTCGTTAATAGCTTAATTCACGCGGCGCCGAAATTGGCTCGTAAGCTGCACGTGCGTATATTTCCAGATGAAATTACCAATTTCTTTATAAATATTGTACGCGAGGCTGTGGAATACAGGGAGAAGAACAATGTGCATCGGAAGGACTTTTTGAACATACTGATGGAATTGAATAAAGGAAAGTTGAAATTCGCTGATAAAATGGATGAGAAGGGTCTAACCGTCGAGGAAATGGCGGCACAGTCGTTTGTATTCTTTGTAGGTGGCTTTGAGACATCGTCGTCGACACTGTCATTCATGTTGTATGAGCTCGCGCAGAATTTGGCGATTCAGCGGCGCATGCGCGAAGAAATCACGGAGACGCTAGCGCAATACGACAACGAGGTAACATACGAATGCATCAATTCAATGCCGTACATGAAGCAAGTCATTGCAGGTAGGATTAATAAAAATTTTGGAACCTTTAACAGTAAGTCAATTGGTGTGTATGTATGTATTGCTTATTGCAGAGACGCTACGCATCTATCCAATTTTACCGCATCTCCAACGTGTGGCTCTGAAGGATTACGTTGTGCCTGACCAGCCGAATTACGTGATCGAAAAGGGCATGACCGTATATATACCAGTCATGGGTATACACCACAATCCTGAAATTTATCCCGAGCCAGAGAAGTTCAACCCGGATCGTTTTTCTCCAGAAGTGAAGGAGTCCCGGGACGCCATCAATTGGCTGCCATTCGGCGATGGTTCACGCAATTGTATTGGTATGCGATTTGCACAAATGCAGATGCGCGTCGCCTTAATTTACCTGCTGCGTAATTTCGAGTTTTCTACTTGCGAGTTAACAGAAATCCCCTTGCAAATGAATCCAAAGCAGTTTTTGACATCCAGCACAAATGGAATATACTTGCAACTGAAGCGTGTTTGAGTCAATTAAAGTTTTTTTTTTTTTATTGTTATTAAAAACTGCGAAAAGCCAAATATGTACATGAAAAGGAGCCAAGTTTGTTTTAAATTGCCACTCAGAATCAACTGATAAATATTATTCACAAAACCCTATAATTAAGTAATTTGTGAGGGTTTACATAGAAATATATGTATGTGTTAAAATTATATTATATGCTGAAAATGTTTGTATAATTAATTTAATTGTTTCGATCCGACAAAAACAAGTACATATAATAAGTGTGTGTAGTTGTATATCCCAACCTTGTAATTTGTTAAACTTGCAAGCTGCTTACTCGCAATATGAGCGCTTTGAACACAGTGTGCTACTTCGATGGCCTTAAGCTGCATTAAATAAAATATAAAAAAAGTTAAATTAAATAAAATAAAAAAAAACAAGTAATTAAACAATTTTTTAAGACAAGCTTTTCTAAAGTTTCGTGGGGGTATTTCTTTCCTTTTAAGTAATGTAACTCTTAAATACGAACCATGTCGGAGCATAAACATGGAAGTTTCAAAGATCTCGACACCTAGTGGATTAATTCACCTTTCATATTGCACTGTCATCGGGTTTTGAGCTAATTTTAAATTTATAAGTCTCTAGCTCATAAGAAAGTTGGTTAAAAGTTGATTCCAAGATTGCATTACACACAGGTGAAACTTAATAAAAGCTTATGATATTTTATTTTTAAAACATACAAATCTGGCCCCAAATTTTCTTTCATCGTGATTTAGATCACTGAAACAACATTCCTTGGTCAGGACGTCCTTGTGCTGCATAGAGCCAACTCAGAAACCAGTATAGTCACGACCGAAAAAATATAATTTTTTTTAAAAAACCGCCTAAAAATTAACGGAAGCAGTTGTTTGAATATAGTCGTATTTAGGCTTATATTACCAAGCTTGGTAAATTGGTAATCGCAATAAAAAGTAATAGTGCGTTTTTTAGTTAAAAGTTTAAGATTTTGAAGTCCAAGGTTGCTAAGTTGAAAAGCTTTTACAGACGGAGTTCTACGGAACGCATAGTCAAATCAGAGAGGGTTTACTTGATCGCATACACCGATGAATTGTATTCGAAAGTGAATGGTTATATCTCAGAATAGTCCAAGTAATTCAATGCACATAATTAAGTTTACCCTACGAACTCAATCCGACTCGCTAGCACCTGAACTAAGGAGGTTAAAGCTGAACTTAGGCATACTGATCAAGGATACTACACCATCGACAATAAATAACTCGACCACTTTAATTGTAAAACCTATCCTTCATCCAGACCGGCCCTGCCAGGGTCGGAATGGCCCGTCAAAACACAAATCCATTAGGTCTCAATTTTAACATCCCTTTTGTTTTTACCTTTTCTTTTTTTGCTCATATATTTTAAAGGCCCGTACCCAGCTGTATTAGCTAGTCCTAAATACTTCCCGTCAAGTAGCATTTAGCAACATTTTAACAAGCAGCTCCCTCTGCATGCTCTTCCTTGAAGCTCAGATTGCTGACATCTTATGGATCTCAATTTCCAGATTCAGTCAAACTGAGACAATATTCTTCGATAGTTAATCAACAGTTTTGACAACTCCCGTCTCGTGAATGCCGGTAGCGGAGACCAACCACTACCTTTAATATACGAATAGCTCGAGGAGCGTAGTGGGACATGATCTGAATATTAAAGAAGTTCCTACAACTTCTTTTCATATGCTCAACATTAATCCCGTTCGAAGAGAAATTGTTCGCGTCAATTAAAAAGCCTCTGCAGTTTGAAGATTCCAAGTTCGGCACATGCAAACGGTGAGTAAACGACAGTGGCTAGTTTTTCTACCTTTCTGATCGCAAAAACACTTCACCTACCAACTGACGGAAGCGAGCACTTTGGAAGCAACCGCTGACTGGCATTAAAAGCTTTAATACCCAAGCGAATGCACTCGACTGTTTATGCATACTTATATTTATATATGTACATACATATAAAGAATTGATCAATTGCTAAAACTGTAGTAATTTGTGAGTCATATCGAATTCTACCCCAACACTATCGTCTTAAAGTTTAAGTAGAAGCTCTCAATAATTGCCAGTGCAATGCGCAAATTAATGAAGCTTCTCCGCTTTGTTTTGATTTGGCTATGTGCATCGGTGTGAAGTATACTTGCATTCCGGCCAAAGCTTTCGAATATATCCAGTTTGATATACTCATAGAACTTTTATAATATTAGTTCCAAAGTTGCATTCAAACAAAACGATCGACTTGCCGCTTTCTCGCCATCATGTTGCTCACACAAATGTTACTCATCATTCTCTTAGGCCTCGTGGGTTACTTCGCCTACTGGCTACGAAAACGTTTGAACTATTGGCAGGATTTGGGCATACCCTGCAACCAGCCCCACTACTTGTTAGGCAATTTGGTTGGCGTGCAAAAGACGCGCTCGTTTGCGGAAATTGCGCTATCCACTTACAGAAAATTCAAGGGCACTGGCCCGTTCTGCGGCTTCTATTGGCTACAGCGCCCAACGGCTTTTGTGCTCGACACAAGCTTGGCCAAAGCTATACTCATCAAAGATTTTAACAAGTTCACTGATCGCGGCTTCTATACGAACCCAGATGATGACCCACTTACTGGACACCTTTTTTCGTTAGACGGACATAAATGGCGTGTGATGCGCAACAAGCTCTCACCCACATTCACATCGGGTAAGATGAAGCAAATGTTTCCAACTGTTACGCGTGTGGGCGCTGAGTTGGTGAATGTTGTGGCTGCGGCATTGAGTGATGGTTCGACACTTGAGGTGCGAGATTTTCTAGGGCGCTTCACCACCGACGTGATTGGTTCGTGCGCTTTTGGCATCGACTGCAACAGCCTAAAGAATCCTAAGGATCCATTCCGGGAGATGGGTCGGCGTGTATTTATAGATCAGCGTCATAGCCTGGTAGGCATTGCATTTATTATACTCTTTCCAAAATTGTGTCGACGTCTGCATATCAAATTAACACCCGACCACATCACCGAATTTTATATGCGCATCGTGCGCGAGAATATCGAATATCGGGAGAAGAATGGCATTAGACGCAATGATTTCTTTGACATGCTATTGGAGCTGAAGAATAATAAGATGATGAAGACCGAGGATGGTCAGGCGATGACGAATATAACGGTGGAGGAGCTGGCCGCGCAGGCATTCGTATTCTTGGTGGCCGGGTTTGAGACCTCATCGACCACAATGGGCTTCGCCCTGTACGAGTTGGCGCAGCATGAGCATATACAACAGCGTGCACGTGAGGAAGTATGTGAGGTGCTGACGAAGCATAACGGCGAGTTCACCTATGAGTGCATGAAGGAAATGAGCTACTTAAATCAAGTAATATCAGGTAGGTGGGCAACGTATGCTATGTAGTTACTATTGAGAGATGTGCCACTGTAGCATTTGATTTGTCTTGACAGAAACATTGCGGAAGCATACAATAGTGCCGATGCTTACGCGCGAGTGCTTGGAGGACTATCAAGTCGCTGGCTATCCGAAGTACCAGATCAAGAAGGGCATGTTTGTGGTGATACCGGCGGTGGGTATACACTTCGACGAAGACTACTACCCCAATCCGGAAGAGTTCAATCCCGACAACTTCACAGCGGAAAAAGTGGCGCAACGCGACTCCATTGAGTGGCTGCCGTTCGGCGATGGTCCACGCAATTGTATTGGTTTGCGTTTCGGTCTGATGCAGGCGCGCATCGGTTTGGCGTACTTGCTGAAGAATTTCAAATTCGATGTTTGTGAAAAAACCCAAATTCCGATACAGTACAACAAGAAGACATTCATTTCGATGGCAGAGAGTGACGTTTACTTGCGAGTGGAAAAAGTTGTAGAGTGAATTTGACGGACTAATGTCTGAGATTGTGTAAGAGATTAATGTTTATTTGAATTAAAATAATCTAAAACACATATGTATATTTTTTAAGTAAAATAAATTAAAATGTATGGTTAATTCTTTTAATGAGAATACTTATCCTTTATGCTCAGTTGCGAAATGTCTTTCTCAATTTTATCGGCTAACCAAAGCGTTCAATGTGTTCACAATTTCTCATAAATTCTATTTACGTTCTTTGGACTTTGTTTCCAAATTTGCTTTAGTCCAGCGGCTTTAAAAAAACAAATATTTCATCGCAAATACTTTTGTGAACAGCAATTTGTTTACTTTGAATTGTAAATAATATTTTGTTTTGATTGTAAACAAGTTTTTGCTTGCATCTCCATATGTGCTGGCTGCTGTGCTTTTAATCTCTCGCCATATTGTATTATTTGTAGGTATTTACGAAAATATGTACACATGTACATACAGTCAGCGTCAAAAATATGCATACTCTGAGGTTTCGACTATTTTATTTATTTATATTTTCCATACTCAAGGTTTTTTATCTTTTTTTTATAAAAATATAGTTCACTGAACAAAAAAAAGACTTCAAGAATATTTTTTTTTTTTTAATTTCTTACAGAATTCGGGAAGCAGTAGAATTTTGAGTAAGTAATTTTGTAGTCCATTAAAATTTAAAACATTAATGTGCAAGTTTCAAGTCGCTTAAAATTACCATCGGTTTCCGAGAATTCTGAATTCAAAAATTGAAAATTTCGATGATTTTTTTTCTGAAATCGAAATTTTCCCGAGTTTGAGATGGCGATTTTGCAGTGCAATAAATAATAATAAAAAAAAAAAATAAGAAAAATTTGGAATGGAATGCAGGGATTGCATATTTTTGACGCTGACTGTATGTGTGCGTCTACAGATGCTTTCGTTCTATGAAAAAAGTGGTTTGTTTTGATGATTTAAGCTCTAGTCAGTTTTGCTCATTCTCTGTTCTCTCAGTTGTTGGTCGTGAACTTACAAACTCATTTGCACTCTTTGAAAATGTTGCGGGAAAATTAAAAAAAAAAAAAATCACTGCACTGAAATTTTTTTCGACGAGTACTTTGGTGATAAGTTTTAAGTGGGTTGCAATGTCTTAAATTAAAAAAAAAATAAAGTGGTTATAATGATAATAATAATAGACTGGCGTTTACACAGTATGTTAGTGTTTGGCCGAGCTTCTCCTCCGATGTGTGGCGTGGCTTTGTGGCCTTGACCTTGTCACAGTTTTACCCTGACTCCGATCGGCGATTGCATTTTTATGAGAAGCTGTTTTTCAAGACAGTGGGGCAACCGCTATTAGAATTTATTTTTGTTGTTTATTTGATGTTGGTCGGAAACTGGCCTCAAAGCCAGGTAATGCGAAATGGTAGCGCGCACTGCTAACCACTACACCACAGCGGCCGTGTGTTTATGATTGGCCATCAGAAAATCCCACAAGAGAAATTCCAGGGAGCTTAAATCGTATGTCTCATTTGTGCTGCATGTCCGTCGTGGCATCCGCTAGGTGGCACAAATCGTCATCCAACTGAATCGCACGTCATTCACGTCCATATAGGGATGCAAACGATGCATCGATATTTTTGAAACATCGATAATATCGGTTCAAAATTCGATGTTTGCCATCGATGTTTACAATTTCCTAAAATCGCTAAATTGACGATACATCGATGCCAGTTTCAGCGATGTTTTAACATCGACTTTAGTGTGATTCAGACTTGAATTCAACTTACCCATTATCCTCCTAAAATTTTTTGACTGGCCATGAATTTTATTACTTATTCTTTTGGGGAAAATTCAGAAATTCCGTGTATACTCTAATCTTTCGATATTAAAAATGCGTACATAATCATTAAAAAAGGACCGGGTTCCCGTTAAAATTTCAACGAAATTGTGGCTTGGAACTTTAGGTTCAGCGAACTTACGACGGCATGCATTTTTATTATATTTATAGGAAGGGCAAAGGAATGGTAAATAAATACAGGGAAATACATCCATATGTAAGTATTTTTCTAATTGAATTACAGAGAATATAAATTGAAAAGTATTAGATTTTCCTTTCAATGTGACTACAACGTAACAAATTTCGAAACATCGGAAACCATCGATATATCGATGTTTTTCTGGCGATGTATTTTAGCATCGATGTTCATTTGTCCGATGCATCGAGACATCGATGTATCGATGTTACTCCCCAAAATTTGCATCCCTACGTCCATATAATTAAATTTGGGTCAAAGTAAAGCAGTTGCCCTGCGCGTAGATGGTTTTGTAAAATCTATGGACCAATGACGCAATTGTCCTTGAATCCACAGCAAACAGAAAATGTGTGTTAATACATTGATACCAGCTGTACCCGATTCTATAAACAATCTATGAAATTGAAAATGAAAAACGTGGGGCGCATGTAATACACTTGAATTGATATGAAAAGTAAGATATGTATGTATGTATGTGGGTATATGAATAACGACCGCTTAAAATCGATTTCAAAGTTCTACTTTCGCTGTAGAAATTTTAGGTCTACGTTATGTAGTTTGACTATTGTCAATTAAATCGAATGCTTTGTATTGCATGCGCTCCACGTTTTTCATTTTCAATTTCATAGATTGTTTATAATGACTTTTGCTAAAATTTCAAAATCAAAAGTTATCAAAACAAATTCTATGGGACTGAGAAGTATTATTTTCTACTTTTTAGTCCATTTATAAAAGCGTTGTATATTAAAAAGTTTTTTTTATATTATTTATTTCTGCTAAAGAGATAGAGTATATTCGATTAAGAATGTCCACGATTTAGCTTTCCCTGATTCCATATATACACATTTGATGTTGCCTTTTTTTGCCTTTTTTAAGATATTTGCCTTTTTTTTGCTTTTTTTAAGATATTTGCCTTTTTTTGCCTTTTCTGCCTTAAAAAAAAAAGATTATAGCATTTAAAAATTTTTTTTTTTAAGATTAAAAAATATACACATGCCCATGCGGCTTATAGAAGCGCAGAGACCTCTTGCCAAATTGGTGTTGGAAAAATTCAAAGCCGTTTTCTCAGCTCACGTAGGCTTGGAGATAATAAGGGGTGTGGATAAAATTGTAAAGGGCCAGGAAAACGCCCTTATTCCTGATAATATGAACGTTTTAAACGTTCCATATTTAAATTGGGCTCCACTTGTATCAACTTACGTCGAGCGCACATTTAATACATTCAAGGCTTTTCTTCGCGAAAATCGAATGAAAATGCTGCCAGAAAACTTCGAAATACATCTTGTGGTTCAATGTAACTGCAACTATTCAGATTAAAGTTTAATGAGTTAGAAACTCGAAAGGATAAAATAGTCAAAGATTCAAAGGACAAATTTTTCATATAATGAAACTAGTTCATAGTTTTTCTCTTTTTACTTGTAATATAAACATTTCTAAAATAAATGTATTTATTGATTGTTCTTCGTATTTTCTGTCTTTTTTATTACAAGCTTTTATTTAACTTCACTTGTATGTATGTATGTATGCATGTATCTTTGTATGACCTGGAACTTTGCAGTTAATATTTAACAAACTTCCCGATAAGCTACAGACTTGAAACTTCAAACTTAGCTCAACTCGAGAATAATGCAATATAAAAGATGACTTAATCCGCTAGGTGATGCAGGAGTCGAGATATTTGTAAAACCCGCATTTATAGTCTGATGTGGTTCATATTTAGAACATATATTACTTGTATGAAAATAAATAAATCCACAAAAAATTTTGCCCATAGGAATCACTATATCTAAATATTATTATATACTTTTTAGTTCTTGTTGTAATAGAAGCATGTTTTTAGTTTTTTAACTATAATTTTATTTATTGCCTTAGCTTGCTTTTTTTTGCAATACCTAGTGCCTTTTCCTGCCTTTTTCGCTATTTTATTTTGCCTTCTCCAGTCTATTTCGGTATTTTATTTTGCCTTTTTTATAGGTTTTTAGGTCCTAAAAATCCGTTCCCTGTTCATAACACTAAGAATGTTGGAAAATTAATGTTGGTTATAAATTCTTTTCAGTTCCATATTCATATTGCATATCGAAAATCATTTTCGAACACCCTCCGTAATGTTTATTGGGAAGCAAAAGATTTGCATGCTTTTTTTTTGTAAACTTTCTTATCAACTATGCATTTATAACATTTCTGATAATAACACGGAGAGCTGATTCTTACCGTCATATACATTTATGTGTAGATATAGTGTTTTATACCCAACCTTCCAGCTAATTTGCTTAATCTGCCAAAAAAGGGGACCCAATTGAAAAAAATTAATTAAAAAATATATAAAAAGCTTATTGTTAGAGTTTCCATTTATTATTTTCAGCAATGAACAGGTCCTATAAAAGCTTGTACTTATACACATTAACGCGGCTGGAAATAAATCTCGATTTTGGGCATGCGCCATTTGCTTTCTTCCGTCTAACGGCCGGCAAGGGAAAACTATTGAGGCCCTATACACAAAGTCTGGAAATAAATAGGACACTTGTGGAACAGACCTAACTCTCCGGCGGTGCTCACTCAAAGCAGCCACTGCCAAGTGATTCTGGGCAACTTCCGAATAACCAATCAGAATTCCCATACAGTACCTAATATAAAATGTAAGACTTCGCCAATTTTTGTAATTCTAGAGATATTTAATTTTTGTAAAACACACTTAGCACCCTGATAGTTTACTATTGCACGCAGTCGCTTGCCAGAGCATTTTCTGCAGGTGACAAGGAAAGCTTGTCAGGAATATCTAGCCAACCAACAGGATCAGTTGCCTAAGTTAAGGTGTTGAATATTTCAGCCAGTATAGGAACTTAGAGAGATCACTTTTTTCTAGAGAATGTTTCCAGTTGCTGAAATGAAAATGTCTGATGAGTTCTTCTATGCTCCAGCCAGTCTAACCTCTGGTACAAAAAGTTTAGCATCGGATGACATGGCGATATCAAGAAAACTCTTGTCAGAAAAAACTTTCCCGATATATGATTGTGAACTCCAGGTAGGTTTTTGTAGGACCCAGCCAGTCCAGGCACTGCCGAAGAGTAAGTACCTTAGCTTGGAAAATCTTCCCAGTACCAAAAGACCAAATGAAATTAGCTCAAAAACGGACTATTATTCCTGAACCAGTCCAGGCTCTAAGAAGACAAACTTGTTTCAGGTGCATGTTACCGCATAACTTTGAACCACGTCAAACGATTTCGATAAGTTTTTTTTTGCGTCGGAAAGGTAGTGTCTCAGAGGTGGTCCCATACTAATCTGGTTTAGATCCGATCATTGGATCATGAAATATATATATTTTTTTAAGTCGTTTTTTTTTTTTGCTAAAAATTACTTGTTAGTCACTACATTCGTATGCACTGATGCTTGCCTATAAACGCTGTTGTTTTTTAATAAATTTATATTCAGTTTATTAAAGGAAGAATTTTCCTACGAGGGAATCAAATACGTTGAACAGAGCTGCCGCATAATTATCTACATACATAGGTATGCGTTAGTGACTGCAATTTGAAATCGTAACTCATCAAGTATGAATGCATAGTCATTACTTTATTAGATAGTTAGCATAAATTAGGTGGAGTTCTCTCTTAGTAATTGATAAAAATTAGCTACCCGTACGCGCTCACTTGCAATATCAAATTCTAATACCCTTGTGCATAACCGCGCTCGGGTATAAAAAGCTTTTGCCAACATCTCGACTTAGGCAGCTGTAATGTTTTTGCTTTAGTTTAGTTAGCGAAACGCTCTGATATTTAACGATTCAGTGAGCTGCGCGGTCTGCGCACAGTTTTAAAGTTTTGCGTTTCGACAAATAATTCAAACACAACACAGACAAGTAATTAATATGTCTGTCACTCAAATTCTGCTAGCCATCCTGCTCGCCCTGCTCAGCTACATTGCCTACTGGTTGCGGCAACGCTTCATGTATTGGGAGGTGCGTGGCATTGCCTACGAGAAGCCACATTATTTGTTGGGTAATTTGGATGGCATTCACACGAAACGCTCATTTCTGGAAGTTTGGTTGACCACCTATAAGAAATTTAAGGGCACCGGCCCATTTTGCGGCTTCTTTTGGTTTCAGCGTCCCGCAGCCTTTATACTCGATACAAAGTTGGCCAAAGCTATCCTAATTAAAGACTTCAACAATTTTGTTGATCGCGGTTTTTATACAAATCCCGAGGATGATCCACTTACCGGCCAACTTTTCTTACTGGATGGCCATAGATGGCGTACTATGCGCAATAAGCTATCGCCCACATTCACGTCTGGCAAAATGAAGTACATGTTTCCAACTGTGTTGCGAGTGGGCGAAGAGTTTGTGCGTGTTGTGGCCGCAGACATAGAGAAGGATGCGGTGCTGGAGATACGAGACTACTTGGCGCGTTTCACTACTGACGTCATAGGCACTTGCGCCTTCGGCATTGAGGTGAATAGTTTAAAAAATCCCAGTGATGAGTTTCGTGTAATGGGTAAACGCGTATTCACTGATCTCCGTTACGGGCGCATTGGTCTGGCTTTAATCCAAAGCTTCCCTAAAATGTGCCAAAGATTGCATATCAAGAGTACCCCTGACCACATAACCGACTTCTACATGGGCCTCGTGCGCGAAAATATTGAATACCGCGAGAAAAATAATATCAGGCGCAATGATTTCTTCGATATGTTGTTGGATTTGAAGAACAACAAGATGCTTAAAACGGAAGACGGTCAGATGATGACGAATATAACCGTTGAGGAGATAACTGCGCAAGCATTCGTTTTCTTGGTGGCCGGTTTTGAGACCTCGTCGACAACAATGAGCTTCGCGCTGTACGAGTTGGCCCAACACGAGGACATACAACAGCGCGTGCGCGATGAGATTACAGCGGCTTTGGAGCGTCACAATGGTGAGTTCACCTACGATTGCATGAGGGAAATGACATACTTAAACCAGGTGATTTCGGGTAAGTCGACTAATAGCCGGAGTCGAAATATTTTTAATCATAATTTCTTGAATTGCTCATGCAGAGACGCTTCGCCTGTACACTGTGCTACCTGTGCTGAACCGTGAGTGCATGGAGGAGTATGCGGTGCCTGGCAACCCAAAATATGTCATCGCAAAGGGCATGCAGGTGGTTATACCGGCCGCTGCATATCATCGTGACCCAGAGCTGTATCCCAACCCGAATTCTTTCGACCCGGACAACTTCTCTCCCGAAAAGGTGGCTCACCGCGACGGTGTTGAGTGGTTGCCGTTTGGCGAGGGGCCACGCAATTGCATTGGCATGCGTTTTGGACAAATGCAAGCACGTATTGGGTTAGCTTTGTTGTTGAAGAACTTTAAATTTTCCGTGGACGGAAAAACTCCGATTCCGATGACCTACGACAAAGTCAACTTCTTAGTACAATCCGAGCATGGAATTTGTTTATATGTTGAGAAAATTTGAGCGGGATTTTATGAGCTTTAAAATATACGTCGTTATTTGATTCATGATTTTTTTTTAGAAACCAAAATTAGATTTTAAATAAAGTATATGTTTCTTGTCATGCTCCTACTTTGGCATTTCTTATCCTCATAAAAGCTGGACTCTTTACTGTTCATTTTTATTACTGCAGCTTCTACAGAATTTATTGTAGACTACACTCAGCCTTCTGGCGTGATTGCCAACCGGCTAATGCCGAGTAAGAACCGCTACTAACCTTGCAACGCCAGGGGATTGTACACAGACCACATAAGTTGGCTATACCAGAGGTTTTGGAGAATACCTTTTCCGTATATAGTCCGACCATTGGAAGAAACTAACGGTACTCGTCAATTTTTATACGACAATTGAAGTCGGCTTTGTTTTTTGCTTAAAAATTACTTGTTTTTACTAAAAGTCAACCAGACCGAGAAAAGCAAAAGGTAACCAATAAACCTCAATATTAATAGCCGACAGGGTTTGCATACTTATAGGAACTTACTGCCATCCTTATAAAAATTGAAATACATGCACTTATTTTTATTTAAAAAAAAAAACGACAACAGAAATATCCCCACTCTTTTATGTAGTATTTTAGATAATATTAACTGTTCGCTCGCTCTTACTATCTGCTCAAGCGTTAAAAAGCTTCATCAGACTGTTTTAAATAGCTGCTTGTGCCTTATCGTACTTAGTAGTTCACTCGCTGCTTGTTGCAGCTGCATTTAATTTTATTGTTTGTGAACAAATTAAAAATAAAGTCTAAGAATTTTCAAATTTCTTCACGCTACTGAAATGTTGCTAACACAAGTTCTGGTAAGCATTGTGCTGTGCCTGCTGGTCTACTTCTGGTACCGTTTTCGCCAAATAAGGACCTACTGGCAGCGACATGGTATTCCTGGCGAGGGACTAGACACCTCCATGCGCGGTTTGGGCAAGCAACGCTCCTTTGTTGACATATGGCTGGATACATATAGAAAGTTCAAAGGCACTGGCCCCTTTTGTGGCTTCTATTGGGGTGCAGGCCCAGCTGCTTTTGTATTGACACCAGATTTAGCTAAACTGGTGCTGATTAAAGATTTTAACAAATTCACGGATCGCGGATTTTACCACAACCCAAAGCACGATCCCCTCTCGGGCCAGCTGTTCATGTTGGATGGCCACAAATGGCGGAGTATGCGAAATAAGCTGTCGCCTGCATTCACCTCCGGCAAAATGAAGATGATGTTTCCGACTATTGTCAAAATCGCTGAAGAGCTTACAAATTTACTAGCTGATGTGCAAAAGCAGGACGCTGTAATCGAAATGAAAGATTTGATGGCACGCTTTACCACCGATGTGATTGGAACCTGTGCTTTTGGCGTGGAGTGTAATAGTTTGAAGGATCCCAATTCGGAGTTCCGTGTGATGGGTCGCAAGGCAGTGACGGATCAGCGACTAGGGCCGCGAACGCGCGCTTTCATCAACACCTTCCCGAACGTGGCAAGATTTTTGGGCATAAAAACTATACCCGACCACATTTCCAAATTCTACATGGGTATCGTGCGCGAAAATATCGAATACCGTGAGAAGAATGGCATTAGACGCAATGATTTCTTCGATATGTTGCTGGATCTGAAGAATAAAAAGTTGCTGAAGTCAGAAGATGGTGAGGAGGTGAGTATTACTGTTGGGGAACTGGCGGCGCAGGCGTATTTGTTCTTGATAGCCGGTTTTGAGACGTCGTCGACGACACTGAGCTTCGCACTGTACGAGCTGGCACAGCACGAAGACGTACAACAGAGGGCGCGAGACGAAATTTTGGAGGTGATGGCTCGTCACGGCGACAAACTGACCTACGAGTGTATGAGCGAAATGGTCTATTTGAACCAGATAATATCAGGTAGGCCTTAGATTTTTATTCTGTTTAGCTGAAGGCAAGAACCCCATTATAATTTTTACTTTTAATTGTATTATAAATTGCAGAGACTTTACGTTTATACACTGTGCTGCCAATATTGAATCGCCAATGCCTGGAAGACTATCCTGTGCCTGGCTTTCCGAAGTATGTCATTAAGCGGAATATGCGCGTGTTGATACCCGCTGGCGCTATGCATCGCGATCCCGATCTATATACCAACCCGGATAAATTCGATCCCGAACATTTTTCGCCGGAAAAGGTAGCGCAACGCGATGTCATTGAGTTTTTACCCTTCGGTGAAGGGCCACGCAATTGCATTGGGATGCGGTTTGGCCAGATGCAGGCGCGTGTCGGTTTAGCATGTCTGCTGAGCAATTTCAAGTTTATTGTGTGTGACAAGACGCCAATACCGATGGTGCTCAATAAGAGCAGCTTCCTAGTGAGCTCTCAAGATGGCATTTACCTGCAAGTGGATAAGTTGTGATATGGCTAGGCGAGTTTGTTATATTTTTTGTTGAAATTGCTATCAATGTGTATTGCAAAACACACATACGTTGTGGCATAAAACAGTTATTGAAAACTTATTTAGGATAAAACTGTATATTTACACAAATTTAAACACTTAAATAAAGGCAGACTAAGTTTGGTTTATTAATTACGGGACTTTTTACTTTCACAGATATATATGTATGATAATAGAAATGGTATTTGAATATGTACGCTCTTAAAAAATAATTTTTCTAGGGTCGAAAAGTATGCTGGTGCGGCGTGTTAATTGTTTGTAGGTCTTACCGACGTCCTTCACGATGTCTACCCATATTTTTGGGCGTTGTCTTTAACTTTATATTTATTGCTTAGCCAGGCGGCACTAAATGTCCTAGACTCATTTTGAACGGCATCAAGGCTTGCGGGCAGTTGTAAAACTCCCACCCAGGAGCCCACAAAAAGTAATGCTGCGGTGCGTCTGTGGGCATTAAGTGTTTGTGGGCAACGAAAGGCTGGCTGCTTTCCAAAACGTGGAGCCCAAAAACGCATTGCAGTACAACTTAGGAGCTGGGAGGAATCTCAGATTGGTACACACTGTCGAAATTCAAAGGGTGTGAGACAATGAAAGAAATTCATGACGCCTTCCAGGAGGAACTCCAAAAGACTCTTAATTTTTTAAGTAGCCTAAGGTTAGAGGGATTCTACATAGAGCTTAGCACAATAGATCTTTTTAGGGTGCAGCATGAGTTACGAAATACTTAGCGAATACTTAGGCAGCAGTCAACAGGATTCCAAGAACGGGGCTATTTCCTGCAGTGATGAAAATAGAAGTCAGCTGACAGATGGCCAGAAAAAATATGAGGTACAGAGGGATCATTTCACATTGCTTTTGAATGGTGACTCAGGTGGTGAAGTTCGCTCTCCATACGCCCTCCAAAAAAAAAAAAGGCTAGAGGAATTTCCAATATTTATCTCACTTATCAGCTATGACTATGATGTGGACAGGTGTGAGCGTTAAATAAAAATATTTGTACTTTTTTGAAAATCACATAATTACAATTGAAATTTTTTTTTCGACGATCATTAAGATCAGACATAGCTTATCTGCATATTTTCAAGAAGCAACAAGTGGCTCTTAATGCGATAAATGTATACATATAAGTATATGCGCGTGTAGTACTATTGTTTTATGAAGTCAAAGATATTCATATTCCCCAGTTAGATTGCATGCTTGTAAGACCGCTGACTCATAAGAATGTTTTATGGAACGGATGCCCCTAAAGGCCTTTTTTTAACTAGACACACTAATTTATACCTACACATATGTATGCACATATTTAGACACAGGCAATGCTAACAAAAAATTTCACTTTTATTAAGTGCTTTTAAAAAAATCTCTGAAATATTCAAAAGATTATCCCATCCCATCCAAATTTGTAAAAATTAAGAACACTTTAAAAGCTTTATAAATCGAAAATTTGTATGAATAACAAATTTATTTACTCTAGGTTTGTTTCATCATTTAGCTTCTCGCTTCCCAATGGTTTTAGATACCACTCGAACAGACCAGTCCTACTAAACCTTTTGTGCATAAATATATGGACGCTGAATAGGATTTCTTGAACAAGTTTTTCCAAAAGTAACTTTCTCAGCAGTTTCTAATGCGTAGAGTAGCGAACTCTCTGGGTTCGAAGAGGCGGTCTTATATACATACTTATCTACATATCGTCCCGTTTCTACGTTAACCTCGTAACTGTAATAGAAATGTATATACGGGTTAACGCAGAAACGGGACGACATAGTTACTGTATATCGAAAACTTAACAAAACTACAGTTTGAAGATACATTAAAACATCTGAGAGGGTTAAAATTTTACGCTTTGAAGGCGATACTAATTTCATTAACTTTCCAGTCGATCGACATCTAAGCAAGCCGCTACAAATAGAACCACCCTAGTATACAAATGAGTTCTCACTTTTGCATGCATTTGCTTTTTATCTACAGGTGCTTAACGCAGTTTTATCTCTATTTATATTTGTATACATATGCACATATGTGTATTATAAACACAAACATATTTACCAAATATGTATGTGTTTTTGCTACACCCCTGCAGGAAATATATCTAACAATAAGTTAACTTGAAGTTGATTGGGAAGGAACTAAAGGGCACTATTATCTGTATATTTTCTTTGAGGTAAGCTGACTACATATAGTTTTATTTGTAACTAACTATAAGAAGAACAATATATAAAAATGTTTGTTTGTTTAATTATTTACTATCCTGCAGGGAGTGACGTTAGCTTATACAAAATTTTAGTATGTTTCCGTGAACACTAGTGCTAACTATNTGGCCGTCGACCAGTGCTATTAACTGTATATTATGTTCGAAAAAAGCTAACTACTCTTGTGGGGCGATGGCCGGAAAAAAGTCAGACCTGGTTACCTCTGCATTACATGTAAACTAACTTGTAACNTTAACTGTATATTATGTTCGAAAAAAGCTAACTACTCTTGTGGGGCGATGGCCGGGAAAAAGTCAGACCTGGTTACCTCTGCATTACATGTAAACTAACTTGTAACTAACTAATTTTGGACATAAAATATCAATAAATACATTTTGCTAATTTTTTTAATTTCTTTAAATATTCTGCTGTAGGTGGTCCTATATCCGGATTTCGTCAGACATAATTCTGAATTAGAAAAAAGTATTTGTGAAGTTCAGAAAAAAAGTGTATTCAAAGTAAAATTTTGTATCTGGATATTTGGATATAAACTTGTTTAAAGAAAACAAACTCCCGATTAGGGCTGCATGACTCCTTTACCTTTCAACCAGGTTAATTTTATCGAAATGCCGCAAAAATGCTAATTACAAGTGGGTTATATTTTTCAACTGATACTTTTTTTTGCTGGAACAGCTTATGTTTGTAAATATGTGTGTATGTATGTAAGTACAACTGCAATTTCATATCGGCAGTATGATAAATTTTTGGTTTAAGGTATCTAAAGCCACTTTCTTATGTATACCTACGTACATATGTGCATGTAGCAGGGTTATCGCGAATATTCGCATTCGCATTGTAACATTCTATACTCAATGCGGATAAAAAGTATATATGTATATTTACAGCTCGGAAACAAACAGATTTATTTAATTTATGAGATAATTGTCAAACTCTGGACGATAATTGGAAGTCCGACATTCAAGAAACCAGGAAACAGTGCGGGCTATACCCAGAAGGAGACGGTCCGATGCAGTGACCTAGCGAGTAAAAAGAGGCAAAAAACCGTCCGCCATGGAAGCGCCCCATGCCATGGTAGGGTGACCGTTACTCACTGAGGCGACTCGGTGTCAGTGCGGCACCCCAGAAATACAGTCAAAGAACACTGCTATTGATAAGCAGCGAGCCTACCTGCGATTCTCCCTGATCTTATCTAGATACCGTCCTGATAATGCACAGAACATACTGGAGTATCCATTGCCAGTCGGCATCCTCGGTGAGGGTTCAGTGGAGGACAATTTTTTCGCCAACCGAGCAGTTGTTTAGTGGAGCAGGTTTGATTTACGACCCTTTAAGAAACGCGCTGGAACCCGAAAAGGCAGCAACGTTACTTTTTAAAAATATAATGCTCCACATTTTAAATTTCTAATTTACTAATTTTTCCATTTTTTCATTTATTTAAGTTACCTAATTCACTTGCCTAAGTCATTCGCATCCACGGATATATAAAATTCCACACTCGCAACATCCCTAGCAAGCACATATGTATGTATGTATGTAGTATATTTTCGCGAGCGGAGCGCGTATTCAGATTGTCCAGTATATAAATAGCAACGATAAGAGTGTCTCAAGCGTTTACTTAGCAAAATAAACCAGCAGGAAAGTGAATGCATTATACAAATGTATTGAATGAAGAAAAAACATACCCATTTACAGCCGAAAACTGCGGCCAAAATGAGTACTTGAGAAAAAAAACGAAAACTTGAAAAATGGAGGCTTCGATATGACGTTGGTTGTCAATTTAGTATTATTCAATTTGTTCAAATTTGTGTCGATATATTTATTGACCTACATACATACGCATGTGTATGTATATACTCTAAATACACTTATCGGCCGACATATATATGGTCATATCTATCGAAACTTTTAACCTACGTATGTATTCGTGTCATAATTTATCGATTAATATTTATGTCTATTTATCGAGATTTCACCAATAGATTTATTTACCTCTATCGTAATGGTTATATTTTGTTGTGTTGCATGGACTATATTTATCGATAACTTTATCTTACTAACATCGATATACTGAAATACATGTATCGATTTCCTGGTCAATATAATTTTCGATAAATAAATTCTTATATTTTTGTCGATATATTTAGATACTTTGTCGAAATGTTTTCGATACATATATTTGTTTTTATCGTTACGGATACATATGGTTATATTGAATTTATTACATTTATCGGTAACACATTCATACTCATATTCGAGTCCGTATTCGTATTTGCTTTCCTATTTCGTAAGTTAATTTCGATATATGTACATGCATATGTGCTTACCAACACATCTATCGCTACTACTATCGATACATTTATCGTTATCGTTAACGCAATTGTATTTGTTTTCCTATTTGCATATAAAATATCAGCGATCTTACCGACTAACATGACTACGATAATATTGCTTATGTATTTTAAGTTTACAGCGGTTAGAAGATATGCCTTAAAAATAATTTCAATAACGCAGCAGAGCTTTGTTGTACCAATATTTAAGTTAACGCTTCGTTTTCTGCCCAGTGCATTTCAATTTGGATGAATTAATATTACACCAATTCTTCCTTGCCTACAACTCTTCAACTTTCTTTCCGCCATTAAGACGTACTGTTGTTTTTATTTTTAGCATTTTATATTTTCTTTTAATTTCAAAATTATGCAATGATTACAACTCAGAAAACGGTTGCAAAAGTTTATAAATTGGGCTGCCAGAATGTGCAGCGCTCAGTTGTTAAGCGGCGGTGACAATCGAAGAAGCAATGAAATGCCGCATTGAGTGGGAAAACAAAAGCAAAACCAACCGACGGAAGAGTGACACCCAAAATAAAATTAGCCGCAAGACACACCCAGCCAGTAAACGCACCCACTTCGCAATTCACAATGTCAATGACCGCGCTGCTGCTGACGCTCATTGTCATCTTGCTCGCAACGCTGTATATTTTCTTCCATCGTCGCTTCAATTATTGGCGCAGGCTGGGCATAGCACACGACAAGCCAAGCTGGCTGCTCGGCAATTTGGTGGGCGCTCAGCGCACCCTCAGCTTTGCCGACATTAGCCGCAACGTCTATTTGAAGTATAAAGGCACAGGACCATTTTGCGGCTTCTATTTCTTTCAATGCCCGGCAGTGGTGTTGCTGGATATTGAGCTGATAAAAAATGTGCTCATTAGGGACTTTGCAAATTTCGCCGATCGCGGTATGTTCAATAATGAACGCGACGATCCGCTGTCGGGGCATCTATTCCTGCTGGATGGCCACAAGTGGCGCAGTCTGCGTACAAAGCTCTCGTCCACGTTTACCTCGGGCAAGATGAAGCTGATGTTGCCTATGATGATTGAGGTGACGCAGAATTTGGTGGAAGTGATGGGTGAGCAGCTGCTGGAAGACAATGTTGTCGAGCTGAAGGAGATTCTGGCACGCTACACCACGGATATCATCGGCAAAGTGGCCTTCGGCATCGTTTGCAATTCGTTGCGTGATTCCGAAGCGGAGTTTCGCATCATGGGACGACGTTCATTCAGCGAATCGCGTCATGGACAAGTTGTTGGTGGTTTAATGCACAGTTTTCCCGATTTGGCGCGTTGGCTGCGCATGCGCGCGATAAACGACGATGTAATTGAATTCTTTATGCGAATTGTGCGAGAAACTGTCGAGTACCGTGAGAAAAACAACATCAAATGCAACGATTTCATGAGCCTTCTCATCGATTTGCGAAACGACAAAAAGCTGCGTGGCGATAACGGCGAAGAAAAGTGTCTAACGATCGAGGAGATGGCAGCACAGACATTTGTATTCTTCATAGCTGGTTTTGAGACGTCTTCGACTACAATGGCGTTCGCCTTGTACGAGTTGGCACAAAAGCCATCGCTGCAAGAGCGTTTGAGACGCGAGGTTTTGGGGACAATAGCTAAGCACAATAACGAATTCACTTTCGAATGCCTGCAGGATATGAAGTATATGGATCAGGTGGTGTTGGGTGAGTTGGAAGAGCTATTCACTAACAAATTTACTTCGTTTAACATCGTTATTTTCTATACTTTTTTTTCGAACTGCTGCTTTTAGAAACGCTCCGCAAATACAGCGTTGTGCCAATTCTTAACCGTAAAGCTTTGTCCGACTACGCAGTGCCGGGCCATCCAAACTTTGTCATCAAAAAGGGTATGTCAGTGATTATACCAACTGTGGGTATACACTACGATCCGAATATCTATCCAAATCCTGAGCAATGGGATCCAGAACGTTTCACGCAGGAGCAGCGGGATCAGCGTGAAAGCGTTGAGTGGCTGCCGTTCGGCGATGGACCTCGTAATTGTATTGGTAAGCGTTTTGGTGGCATGCAGATTCGCGTCGGCTTAGCGCATTTGCTGTGCAAATATCGCTTTAGTGTGTGCGACAAAACTGAGATACCTTTGAAGATGAACGTGAAATCGTTTTTAATCAGTACGCTTAACGGTATCTACCTGAGAGTGGAGGAAGTGAAATAAAATTGGCAAAATTATGCTTTGGCAGAGGTTGAAGATGTCTTTTTATTTTACAAAGCAAATATGTATATTTAGGTGGTGAGTAAATATAAGTATACAAACGACATTAGCCTTCAGTAATTTCCACGGCTTGTGTTACACCGTGCGAAAAAACCAAATAAATTCAAATACATGAAAAAATCAACCAGGGGCCAAATACAGTGAAATTTATTTTTTTATCGCTGCCGTCAGAGTTGTTTAAGGACTTTGAAATTTTAAGAACATGATTGATTGTTTAAAAAAATTATGAAGAAATAACAAAAATTTTATTTTTTGTTTCCCAAGAACGATAGTTTTTGAAAATTGCCTTTTTGTAAATGTTTTTATCTTAAACCATTTAAAGTTAGAAGGACGAAATTCGAGGATGTGGCGGCGTACGATATTTAAATTTTTCATAAATAAATACTTGAAATTTTTAGGATATTCAAGGATAAAGTTCGAAAAGAATATTCTCAAACGAAAACTGTGCAGAATTTTCTCTTTTATTTGATATCCATGTCTTTAAAAAAAAATCCTGACGTCATATATAAAAACTAAAAACGCAGTTTTACTATATTTGGTACCTAGTTTCGCGAGTACATTGATTCGCTTGTGTATAAAATTTACTGTTTCATGGTTTAATACTTTCAAAATGATTTCTTTCTTTTTTTTAAGAGAAGGAAATATACATACATACATATATATACAATAACAAACTGGTAACTTTTGTTGAATTAAAACTATTTTTAAAACCTAAGTTGAACTTTTTTTTATCGTTATCTGAAATAATTTAACTACAATATTCTTTGCTTCTCTGCGCGTAAGTACACATCGCCCTTGGGCTTCAGTAGCAGACTTGCTCCTTCGTAGACCAACGTTGAGGCAGTACGAGAGCATGTCGAAAATTTGTGCGTTTTGAGCAGTGCCACGAGCCCAATACGGATGAGCAACTGACCAAGACGCATGCCAATACAGTTACGTGGTCCCTCGCCGAAGGGCAGCCAAGCAACCGGATGCTGTTGACGTAGGTTTTCCGTATCGAAACGCTCCGGCATGAATTTCGCCGGTTGCGGGTATATAGCCGGATCATGTTGTATAGCATCGACCGGTATGAGAACTTTAGTGCCGCTGTATATTATAAATCCTGGTTTTCCGGTTTCATAATCCTCGTTTGCAACGCGTTCGAGATACGGATAGATTGGATATTTCCGCAGAGTTTCTGTAAAAATAATAAAAGAAATAGTTAACTCGATTGAGTCCAAATTTCACGGTTTCGCTTATTCCCTACCTGCGATTACCATATCCAGGTACTTCATTTCGGCCAGTGATTCATAGCTCACCTCATTGCCATGTATCGTTAACACCTCCTCAATTTCCTTTCTCAACTTGGTTTGCACATGCTGATTGGCGGCCAACTCGTAAAGCGCGAAGGTCATTGTCACAGAAGTGGTCTCATAACTGGCGCTGAAGAATAATGCGGAATTCGCAACAATTTCCGTGATGCTAAGCCGATTTTCCTCTTGTTTCGCATTCTTCAACTCTATAAGCGCCTGCATGAGGTCATTGCGCTTAATGTTCTGCTCCTCGCGTTGCAGAATCGTCTTGCCTACCCAGTGGGAGTAAAAGTTGTGCACTTCGTCCGTCGTCTGTCTCATTCGCCATCGTTGTGCTTGTCTGGGAAAACACTGCATCAGCGCATGCACAAAGTTATTGTGGCGAGATTTCGAAGACACGTGTGACCTAAACGCACGGAACTCCGTATCCGGACTACTGAGACTATTACACTCCACTCCAAATATGCAGCTGGCAATGGCGTCCGTTGTATAACGCTGAAACAACTCGTACATATCTTGTTCGGCGTCAACGTTTTGCAGGTCGGAAAAAGTTCGCGTTAGCTGCTCGCCTACATTCGCTACGATTGGGAAGATGAGCTGCATCTTGCCGCTTGCAAAGATGGGTGAAAGTTTTTTGCGTAATGCGCGCCACTCTGCTGGTTCCAAGTTCCAAAGATTCTCCGAAATTGCGTCATCTCGTTTGTTGTGGAATAAACCGCGATCGTCGAACTTATGAAAATCTCGTATGAGCACATTACGTGCCAAGTCCAAATCCGTCACAAGTGCGATGGGTTTGACGAGCAAATAAAAGCCACAAAAGGGACCCTCACCGCCTTTATACTTATTGTATGTTTCAAGTAATATTTCGGCGAGTTGGCGCGTGATCGTAAAACCTTTCAGATTTCCAATTATAAAAGCCGGCTGATCGTGTGGTATACCGCGCCGGCGCCAATAGAGCATACGCGAACGTAGCATACCAACAACCATCATGAATAGCGTTAAGATCGCATAGAGCGCTATTATCAAATAGTAAGCCAACATAGCGGCTGTGTGTGTGTGTGTGTGTGTGTGCGTGCCAGAATATGATTTTTAGATTTGAGCAATAGACAGACCGTTTAACCGGCTTGTACGAAGGCCGGTAAGTAACTGAATTTGGGAGTAGGTAAGAGCTCACCAGTTTCGATAGCTCAGCGGCGATGTGGGGTATTGCTATTGTTTGTGATGGAGTGTTGATAAGAGTTGGCAGAGAGTGGGCAGAGAGTGGTCGGGAGCAGTGTGACCAGATGATCGCAAGAGCGAAGCTAAATTCGTTTTTAAAAATGGTTAGAAAAAGTTACGCGCTATGAAAATTTGAAGTTAAAAAGAAGTCAGTATATTCATTATATAAAAACTCAATAAGTTCCGCAAAACCGATTTTTTGTAAACAACCTTTTTAAATCATTCTCATCAAAACACAGCAAAAAGTTTAGTTTAGTATAAGAAAAATTCAAATATTTGAATATTTTCGAAATCAGAGTACACAATTAGTACGCCAACAAATCGAATTGTAAAAATATGGTTGAAAGCGAATTTCTTAGTATCATTTTTTAAAAAGCTAAGAACGTCTGTTCTCAAAGAAATGGACCTTTGCACTGTTATTATAATATTTCCACTGTGAATAGTTGCTTTAGAAATACTAAAGCTTTTTAGTAAGCTTAGGTACTTAATTTTATAGTTTCGGTCCGAATTTTATAATGAATATTTTATGTAAGAAAAGCGCAGAAAAGAGCCACGATGTTCCACTTTAATTTCTGAGGCTATGGCATACAATTATTATATTATATGCTAAATCTAGCCTCAAAAAGGCTAACCTGGTCATACTGGTCGGGTGGCTTGATAAAATATAAAATCTACATATCTATGAGCTTATTAGATAATAACATTTGGCTACGTAATGAAAGCGAAAGCTTCTAACTTATAGTGAGTTGAAGGAATAGTGGCAAGAGGATAGTTGTTAGGAAAAAAATAAAATATAAAATAATAATAATTTTGTCAGAATATCTAAATTGGATTGGATTGGAAGATTAAATATATGTACTAACAGACAATTTCGGCTTCATCGAAATGGTCAGAAATCAAACAGTTCCATAATTTTGTAAAATGACGAAATTATCAGAACTGGCCCAAATTCATATCGGACTAACTTTGAGACTACACCTTTCTAATACAAAATAATAACTGCAATCGGTCTATTAAAAATTGTTCGAAGCGAATATTACACGTTTATGAAATTGGATCGCTTTTCGGCTCGTATCAAACATTTAAGTAGAAAAAAGGTGGTTAATCCGGTTCACATCCCTGGAAATAGAATGCATATATGTTCGTATGTCATATATAATCAAACCTCATGATTATTACCTTTGCGCTAATTAAAATGGTTGGAGTTAGAAACTAAAATCTTAAATTTATTTAATAAAAAAGAAAACCTAAAAATAAAAATATATTTACTATCAACTCAGTGTTATTCGACCCTCACAGCCGCTCGATCGGCTTGGCGTCCTCTACCCTGTCCACTCTCAATTTTATACCATTCTGTGGTGAAACGACAAAAGATGACTTCTCCATCGGGCATGGTATTTCCGTCTCGGCGGCAGTGCTAAATCTAAAATTGCGTATAAGATAAATAAGTCCAATGCTGGTTTGCATTCTGCCGAATCGCATGCCAATACAATTGCGTGGACCTTCGCCGAAGGGCAGCCAACTGCATGTAGGTCTTCGTTGTATTTCTTCGGCTGTAAAGCGAGCTGGGTCGAAACGTTCAGGATCTGGGTAATATTCGGGGTCGTAGTGTATGGCAATTGTGGGTATAATGATCATTGTGCCCTTCTCAATGTAGTATTTTGGGTCGCCGGTGTCGTAGTGCGACTGTGCCTTTCGCATAAGATTTGGCACGATGGGGTACATACGAAGCGTTTCTAAAGGCAAATAGGGTATGATAGAAAGTGAAACAGAACATAATAGGCAAAACTCTCCGAAATGCTTACCAAATATTACTTGCTGTAGATAGCCCATTTGGTTAATGACGTCGTAAGTGATTCGATCGTCGTTTGACGCGAGCACCTCATTGATCTCCTGTCTCAAATGCTCTTGCACGTCCACGTGCTGTGCCAGCAGGTATAGCGCAAAGCTCATTGTAATTGCCGAGGTCTCAAAACCGGCTAGAAATACGACGAAAGTCTGCGCCGCGATTTCGTTCACACTCAGACCCTCAATGCGATTGCCGTCTGCATCCTCGCGCTCCATCATATCGATAAGTAAGTCCAGAAAGTCGTTTCGTCGCAAGGCCGTACGTTTGCGGTACTCAAGCGTGTCCTGCACCAGTTTTATGTAGAAGTCATGCACGTGCTGTGGCATAATGCGCATACGCAGAAAGCGTGCGACTTTCGGAAAACTGAAAATTAGACCTTCAACCACTTTGTTGTGACGACGGTGATGGGTGAAACTGTTCGTGACCAACACGAATTCTGGAGTTTCGGCACTCAAACTGTTGCACTCTAGTCCAAAGGCACAAGTGCCGATTGCATCGGTGGTGTAGCGTCCACTCAAATCCGTTACATCCATCAGTTTTCCCAGCCCTTGCGGATCACCGTCCCCAATCCATGCACTCACTGTAGACATAAGCCGCTCCCCCACCGCAGTCACCATATGAAACATATTCTTCATTTTACCCGATGTGAAGGTCGGTGTCACTTTTGTGCGCAAACGCTTCCATTGCTCAGTTTCTGCGAAAAACATATTCGCTGAGAGGGGATCATCGTGAGCATTGTTGTAAAGCCCGCGATCAGAAAAGTGGTTAAAGTCCTTAACAAGCACTTTCTTCACCAATTCCAAGTCGGTTACGAGCGCCGTATTGGTGGCGAGTAGGAAGAATCCAAAAAAAGGTCCGGTGCCCTTAAATTGCTGGTACGTCTCGCGCAATATCTGCGTGAAATGTTTTGTCGTCAACGATGCCAGCATCATCGGCTTGCTGTGCGGTATGCCGCGACGGCGCCAGTAGCTTTGCTGACGCAGGAACCAAATAACAATCATCGTCGCCAGGCCAATAAGCAGGCCGATAAAGACTTGCACGTCCATCGATGGTTCTTGCAATTGTGCCAGTGGAAACAGGTACGCGAGTGCCGCGCGCCTTAAATAGCATAAATAGTTGGTACATTTACGCCAGAGTTTTGAGTTGAGAACGAAGACGAAAATAGGAATCAATATAAAAATTATAATTTCCGGATTTTTACGGCATAAATGGAGCAGGCGGTGAAAGCAGAGTGCGCAGATGTAACAGCGCGTGTGGGACATTTGGCTTGTCATTGATGTGCATAAGTTAGAAAAAGAATGTGAAGGCGTAATGCGGTTTGGCTTGTAGTACGACGGTAATGTCTTTAGGTGCAGCTGCACGCAATGCAGACTTTGCATGTACATATGCGCATATGTACATACATATGTTTACGTTTATTTTGGAGCAAACAGGTCCACAAGTTGCTGGTGAGTGTGCCATAAAAGATGCACCTTAGTTCGTGTGTAAGAAATATATTGATGAAGGGAAGCTGATCTTAATGATAATCGCAGATCTTATTGTACTAATGTTTTTTGCAATAAATGAAATAATAAGAAATATTTTGGCGTTTAAAATTTTGCTAAGTGTTTGGCCGAGCTTCTCCTTCAAATTGAGGGTGTGCCTTGATGGGCCTTTATGAGAAGCTTTTCATGGCAGAAATACATTCGGAGATTTGACAATGCCTGCCGAGATGCGACCGTTGTTAGAATAATATTTTTCTAATTTTTCGGACCAGGGATCGAACTCAGGCCCTATGGAGTGGAAGTACGCACCTCTAACCACACAATCACAGTGGCAAGAAGCTGACTTGGTGTGCAAAATTATCACGTGATAGTATGGGGCAGAAACGGGCGAAGTGGCTCCCAGCCTTTTGCGCATAGGAGCCGGCTTGGCACATTTAGGTGCTAGATGAGGGGTAACATCAAAAGCCAGCATGAAGGTGGAAGAAGTATGTATTAAAGTTTCTTGTACTCCAACTCTCATCTCTTATATAAATAATGCTTTTAATGTATTTTTTTGCATTCCCTTTAGCCTGAGAACTGACTTACCCCTTGCGTAGCTCTTGCTGGCTCATTGACTGCTTTAAGAGCCAAAAATCTGCCCATCCCTGGTATAGGGAATACGATTTACGAGGTGGCGGCTCTATCCAATGGCTGGATGCCCTTCAAAAATACAAGGTGGATATCAAAGCAGTGGAGAAAACGAGGTTGACGGGAAGAAAGCGATATCTTATGCATATAGCTGCCAGGATAGGGTGCAGAGCTTCGAGACTTCGACAACTTGTACACAGGTTCCCCAGGTTCTAACAGTGAGCGAATTTCCACAATCCACGTAACAGGTGAACTCAACAACAGTAGCAACGGATTATAATTACGATAAGACCAACGATCGTTTTTATGAGCGCCTAGGAGTAAAATCACTCTTCAACACAACGATCTATGCGAGAAGTGAACCACCGCACATTACGACGCCACCGCCGAAGAAGTAGTTGGATTTCAGCAAGCCCGAAAGAACAGCTGGTACGATGAGGAGTGTCAAGAAGCTGCTGAGAAAAAAAATGCCACATACAGGGCCGTGTTACGATCGGGCGAAACGCTAGCTGTGTGGGACCGCTATAGAGAATTGAAGAGGGAAGCGAGACGTATTTGCCGCATTAAGAAGAGAGAGGCCGAAATACGTGAATGTGAAGAGCTTCAAATACTGGCAGACGGGAAGAATGACCGAAAATTTTACCAGAGAGTTAGGCGACTTACGGAAGGTTTCAAGACAAGGTCGTACTCGTGTAAGAACAACAATGGCGACCTAGTTACCGATGTACAGAACGTACTTAAATTATGGAGGGAACACTTTTCCACCTTATTGAATGGAAAGTAGCAGCACTGAAAGCTGTGGAGAAGACGAACCCGGGCCCCAGTCGATGATGACGGAGTCGATGTGCCACCACCTGACTATGACGAGGTACGAATAGCAATAGCGTGCTTGAAAAACAACAAAGCTGCTGGAGCTGACAGCCTACCAGCTGAGCTAAATAATCTTGTGCAGGATATGGTCAGACAAACGCATGCCCGACGACCCCGCCATTCGCTTCAACTACCACGTTGTCAGCGTATTGTGTGAAAGACTGAAGCCCACCGTCAACGAACTGAATAAGCCTTATCAGTGTGGCTTCAAACCCACCATTGAACAGATTTCTACAGTTCGTCACATTTTGCAAAAACTCTCGAAAAAGTGACGTCAAAATTGAAAAGGATCCCTCCGCTCCGTTTGAAACCCAACGAGGTTTTAGAAAAAGCGACCCAATCTCGTGAAACTTCTTCAAATTGACGCTGGAAAGCAAGCGCATCTGAATTTTCTGATGAGGTGGCTCTTGGAGTGTTTGAGATGAAGATTGAACGAACTATTTAAGGCCTTCTACGTGTTTGTGATGAAAATTACCCGGGATGCTTACAGCAACATTGACGCTAGCTAGGCCATGTCGCACGAATGGATGCAAATACTCCAGCTCTGAAAGTATTCGAGGAGGTAGAAGATGAGAAAGGCAGATTAAGTAGAGATATATTTATCTTCAGTTCATCTTTCTTATTGTCGGCATTTGCGACAAGGATCGACTGGACTGCTTTATTGGACTTACACCAAAAACTCTTAGACGGTTCTGCCTCCAATCAAAAGGAGGAAGTCACATTTGTATTGTCGATCACAGTGTAAAAGCTCATTTTGGCCAATATTTCTCTAGAAGCATTTAAAAATTCATTGAGGTTTATGACTAATATATTCGTTCTTGTTTCAGTCTATATTCAGTGGGATGAATTCAAATATGTTTACTTTTCATACCCTCCTTGTACTCGAAAAAGTAGTTAAATAAAGTCTTATTGTATATCTACAATTTTATTAAACAATATATGTACTTTAATTTCAAAGATTAAAATGCTTGTACTTGTTCAAAAAGCAGATCAACAATTTTAATATGCAAGCCAATTCGCTATATAACCACCAATAAAAAAATAGCCATATTTGATTAGATATTTAAAAAGCTCGCGTGATTACTTGCATGCGCGTCTAAGCGAATGATCAAAAATGATATTTTGTTCTGTTTAATATTTACCCCATGAAATTATTCTCGACATCATTGGCACATTTTCGGAAAGCAGCTAAGTAAGTAAATATGTGTGTACATTAGACGTACCACCTTACAAGTAACCAAAAAAAGATCGCTGTCCACCTTCGAATCTAAAATATTTTTCGCAAAGCAATTTCGAAATTTTTTTATTGGCCAACCATAGGGGTGGTCTTATAACAATTTTTCAGCGATACATACATTCGGCAATAAACGAATTTTTCTTAAAAATTTCTACTGGAACAATCGAAATACGTCTTTAGCAAAAGTTTAATGATTTTTTAATTCACTGACATTAGGGTGGTATATTAGGGTGATAAGAACTGAGCTCTGGTTGGCAAGAAAGGGGTACTTGAGTTCAATGAACTTCAGAACAAAAAAAATTATCCTCGAGATAAGAATATCGATATATCATACTTTAAGATCCGAATGAAAGTGCCGAAGGCATGACGTAAAAATACCAACAATTTTTGTTTTTCGAAATTGCCATGCAAAAATATTTGAGATCCGAATGTAAACAGCGATCTTTTTTGTTTGCTTGTAGGGGGATACGGTGTAATATATATATGTACATTAGAGTGGTCCAATTTTTCTATGGGGGAAAAAATTTCATCCTACCAAACTGGACACACCCTTACGTTTTTCATTTTGATATTTGTAATATCCATACCAACTTTCTATTTTCCACTGTAACCAATACAGGGTGCTCAATGAAGTTGAAATTGCGCTACTGGATCGCTGTGAAAGTGGCAAAAATATTGGGGATTTTTATAAAACTACTACTGTTGCCATGACAACTGAAGCTTGTGATTTTTTTTAGATAATTTAAATTTGAAATATTCTTAGGTTGCTTTCCGTATAGATTCGCAGGTGCACGGCGAACTTTTTTTCTGGACATACACACATACATAGGGGACGGGATTTTTACTTACAAAAATAAAATAATAATAGTAATAATAATAATAACCAAGAAAAATAATGGCGAAAACAAGGCGTGCCTTAAATGAATTCGGATGTACATATTTACTTGTCCTCTTAATTCTTAGTTTACGTTGCTAGAAAATTTGAGGCACAAAAAGTGTTTCCACGTGTAAAAAAAAATTCTTAACTTTATTTTAAAATCGGTTTTCACTTTTATTTACTTAAAATTTATTTTAAAATTACTTTCAAATTTGCCCCGTATTTTCTTCTCTTTCCAACTGTGTTCTTACGCTATAAAGCCTCAACCCTCAGATGAATGCCGTGCTCTGCCGATAACAATACATTTTCCTTATTGTAGGTCAACTTAGTTTGCGTTTGAGGGGCGAAAGAAAATTTGAAGTTCTTCAACAGCAATGCGAGCCCAACGAATGCCTGCATTTTGCCAAAACGCAAACCGATACAGTTGCGAGGTCCATCACCGAATGGCAGCCAAGTGCATGATGGCCGTTTATTAATTTCCTCTTCAGTGAATCGTTCGGGATCAAAACTATCGGGCTCGGGATAGTACTCGGGATCGTGATGTATGCCATAGGTGAGTATAACGATAGGCATATTCTTCTCGATCAGATAACGCGAGTCGCCGGTATCATAGTCAGCCTTGGCGATGCGTTCCACCCACGGCAGTACTGGATACTTGCGAAGAGTTTCTAAGTGAAGTAAAAAGAAAAAATGGTGAAAAAAACGAAAACTGTTATGTCCTTTTCATTAAATTTACCTGAGACAACTTGTTCGAGATATTTCATATCGTGTATGGCCTCATAGGTACATGCGTTATTGTGTCGCTCCAGCACCTCGTTTATTTCCCGTCGTAGTCTATCCTGTATCTCTGGCTGTCTGGCCAGTTCGTACAGAGCAAAACCCATTGTAGTGGAAGAGGTTTCAAACCCAGCCAGGAAAAATATGAATGCTTGCGCTGCAATTTCCTCCACCGTCAATCCATCACCTTCGCCATTCTTGTTCTTCATCTCCAACAGAATGTTCATGAAATCATTGCGCTTCACCTCATTTCGCTCGCGATACTCAACCGTTTCACGCACAATGCCCATGTAGAAGTCGTGTACATCCTTAGTCAGCGAGCACAAATTCAACTTCCGCGCGAGCCGTGGATAACTCTCCATGAACGTGTCGACCAGCTTACCGTGTCTGCGCTCGATCAACGCCTTGCGACCCATTTTCACAAATTCAGCATTCGGGTTGCGCAGACTATTGCATTCGATGCCGAACGCGCAGGAGCCAATAACATCGGCGGTATAGCGCGCTTGCAGATCAGTGATCTCCAAGATATTATCAGGCGCGTCTTTGGATTTCTCGCCCATCACCTTGACGAACTCCTGAGCCACTGCGACGACGGTTGGGAACATAAATTTCATTTTGCCGGAGGTAAAGGTGGGCGAAAGCTTTTTACGCAGCACATTCCATTTCGGGCCGTCCAGCTGGAAGAGATTGCCGGTCAGCGGATCTTCGAATTCATTGTGAAAAACACCGCGTTCTTGAAAATTGCTAAAGTCCTTGATGAGTATCTTTTTGATGAGTTCTAAGTCGAGCACGAAGACAACGGGTTGTATCAGAAAGTAAATGCCGCAAAAAGGACCGGTGCCTTTAAATTTTTCATAGACCGGCGCGAGTACCTCGTAAAACGATTTCGTATGACGCCACTCCTTGAGAGCGCCCATAGGAAAGCTGGGCTCATCGTGGGGTACACCACGCCGCCGCCAGTAGGACTGTTGATATTTGAGAAAGTAGAAGATCAGCGCGATTACAATCGCCAGCAATGCAATAAAGATGCTCATGTTGCGCCAATGTATCGATTAGACAGACACAGGGAGGAAAAGTTTTATATTTTAAAGTTATTTTTGCTATTTTTCGATGTGCTTGCGCGGCAAATGCTGTTGATGCACTGAATGTGGAATTTTAGAAAATAATCTCCTCCATACAAGCAAGTGCATGAAGACGCGCATTATGTGTTTGTGTGTGGGTGTGTGTGTTGGCAAAGAGCTTTAAGCTTCACGAGAAATCAAACTCTGTTTCATTTATTTATTTACACCCAAAGCCGCTCAAGTTGAAGGCCGTTCTATGCCAATGGCTGGGGCGTTGGCGTTGGCGGCAGACGATGGATAGAATTAGAATTAACAAAAAAAAAAAACCCATGTGATAAGGTAATGGGAAAGGAAAATAAATTCACATATAATAAATAAAATAAAAGCTCTGAAAAAGTCATAAGACAGCTACCGATACTCACAAAGAAACAAAATTAGGAAGACTTCTAAAAGCACACTCAAGTCCCGGAAAATTATCGAAAAAGACTGNCATATAATAAATAAAATAAAAGCTCTGAAAAAGTCATAAGACAGCTACCGATACTCACAAAGAAACAAAATTAGTAAGACTTCTAAAAGCACACTCAAGTCCCGGAAAATTATCGAAAAAGACTGAAATTTTTAAAAATCTTCAAAGTTCTACAGGCAAAACCCTGAAAAAAAAACAGAAAAAGGAGACACACTGCAACCTGAAAAATGATGGTAAAAAAACTCCTTATACCAAAAGCACCAAAAAAATCTATAACTTTTTTATGAGTGTGGAAAGCCTCAAAATTCTAAACAAAACCAGAGAAGTCCTAAAAAAGTACTGTCAATCCCAAAAAGAGAAGAAAAATAACTAATACTCACAAAAAAGCACCAACACGTTTGAGTTTCAAAAAAAAAAAAAAACTGAAAAAATCTCGAAAAGTTTAAAAAGGTCGACAAAAAGCAAAGGGAAGTCCTAAAACCTCCCGTAAAGACCAAAAAACTATGCAAAGAACTGAATACTCGTATTTCGAAATTGACCAAAAATAAAAAACACACAGAAGACTTGCAAAAGTTTTTTAACATTTCAAAAAGTCCTAAGAAATCTCGGAAATACTGAAAATTAAGAAAAATCGCGAAAATTGGTGAAAAAATTTTGAGAAAATTGTATAAAATCTTAAAAATGTGTGAAAAAGTTTTAAAAGTGAAAAAAATCTGAATATTTCAATAATTCGTTGGCAATCGATTTTAGCTAGATCAATATCATGCATTTGCGCGAAATTTAAAATTTCAAAAACTGCTCTTTATTGTAATTATTTTTAAAGAAATCTTGAAGATCAGCAAAATATTCACCCGCGTCTCCGATCGTCGGACTTTTTCCACCTTAAAAAAATTTCGCAACAACACTAAGTATAACAACTAAGCGAACTTCTATCTAACCCCACTTAAGTTGTGTTTTTGTGCTCATTTTGTTTTGCTAACATCATTCGTAGTATCTCATACACCCACACAGATTCATATACTTAGTATACGCGTGTGCATACATGCCATTAGCCACTAACAAGTGTATAAAAAATATTCATTTTGCAAAGAATGCAAACATACACACGCACATATGTACATAGTACATACGCTCAAGAGCATTTGAAAGCTTTCATAAAAAATTGATTAATGCAATTAAAAATTCTTGACTGTGAGCAAAATAAAAGCGATGCAAATGAAGCCAGATATTAGAGAGTGCTGGAGCTTTTAATTTATACAAATTATTTTCATACATACATACTTTTGTGTATACATATGTATGTATACTAGGGTGGCCCAAAAACAGTAAAGTCGCAATTGTTATGAAACAAAGTATAGCCCTATTTTTTATTTTGAAATCAAAAAAATATTTAGAAGTCGCTCAAAGCGCTCAAAGTTTTCCATGTATTTTTATATGGGAAAATTTAAATTTTTTCGTAGAAGTGGTATAGAATTCTTGATAGTCAATATTTTTCGATCGGAAAACTCTGGTTCTCTTCAGGAGGCTTTCAATAATAAAACCCAATTGTTTATTTAACTATTTTTTAATACTAACAATTTTTTTTTCGGGGTTTTTGTGGGTTTTTGGCGAACCTATAAGCTATAGTTGCAATGAAAAAATTGTTAAATAATCAATTAGGAATCTCTCCTGCAGATAAACAGAGTTTTCCGGTAGAAAAATATTGATTCTTAAGAATTCTATACCATTTCTACGAAAAGTTTTTTTTCCCATATAAAATACATGGAAAATTTTGGGCGCTTTGAGCGACCTCTAAATATTTTCTGATTTCAAAACAAAAAAATAAGGGTGTATTTTTTGGTATAGAACAATCCTAAGGGGTCAGAGCATAAAAATTCCGACTTTACTTTTTCACATGCATTTTTGTACCACCCTACTGTAAACAAATATATGTACTTAAAGACTTTAAATATGAAATATTCGCAATTCTTCCCATACAAACGTATTTGATTTGTTTATTTAGGAGTGGTTTATTTTTACGGACAATTAATAATTTGCTTGTATACATAGAACACCTTATAGAAAACTTGGATGAGGCACTGTTATTACTGATTGTGAATTACAATGTGTTCATTATATGTATGTAAATATACTCAATTTTTTATATAAAAGTGTAGTGAATAAAAAAACTTAAGACAGCGTTCAAGTGTCGATAAGATACACAAAGGCATTTGTTAAACAAATTATCATATACCTAAGTACTTAAACTTGCGCTTTACATAAGTACTTATACATACATATTTATCTATGTAGGTAGCTCAGTTAATCGACAGACAATAAAAAACCGCAAATGGAAGTACAAAATTTTTGTTCATATATTTAGTAAAATTTCTTTTGCTCAATTTTCAAATAGTTTCCTCCAACTTCTCCACAGCCAAATGTATGCCACCGTCTGCGGCGATAAGAAAATTCTTCTTCGCATAGACTATGGGCACCTGTGTACGCGCTGATGGCTTGAATCGGAAGCTACGCAGCAGTTGTATGACTCCGATGGAGGTCTGCAACTCACCAAAACGCATGCCAATGCAATTTCTGGGTCCCTCACCGAAGGGTAAATAAGTGAAAGGATGACGCTTTTCGATTTCCTCTGGCGAGAAGCGTTCAGGATCGAACTTCTCTGGTTCGGGATAGATATCTGGATCGTGATGAATCGCGTCGACGGGTATGAAAATGCGCATGTCGCGCTCCAGTGTAATGTTGCTGTTTGGAATGCTGTAGTCAGCGGTGGTTAAGCGCACCAGGTGCGGTATGACGGGATGTTTACGTAGCGTTTCTGTAAAAAAAATTGTAGTTTGAATGTAGCTAATTAAAACAAAAATGCATGCTTACCTTGTATCACTTTCTTAAGGTAAGTCATCTCCTTGATTGCCTCATAGGTCACCTTTCCTTCAGTTTTTTGTAAAACCCCGAAAATTTCCTCACGCAGTCGCTCCTGCAGCACTGGTTGCAATGCCAATTCGTAAATGCAGAAAGACATTACCGTTGATGAGGTCTCAAAGCCCGCCAAGTAGAAGACCATCGCCTGTGCGGCCACCTGTTCGATGCTCAAACCGTTCGTTAAATCGTCCTCCCTGATATCAGTGTGCTCCAAACGATCACGCTGCGCCTTCATCTCCAACATCATATCCATAAAATCATTGCGTTGCACGCCGTTCTTCTCTCTGTACCCCACAGTTTCACGCACTGCACCCATAAAAAAGTCGCTCACATCATCGGGAAAGCTTTTCAGCCGCAGTCTGCGTGCCATATTTGGATCGGTAAACATGAAAGCTTGCACGAGTAGCGAATGACGTGGTTTTTCAAAAATAGTGCGATCCATGCGTCTAAATATGGCATACGGGTCGTTCAGGCTGTTGCACTCTATGCCAAAGGCGACTTCACCAATCACATCGGTAGTGTAGCGCGCACAGAGCTCCTTCAGCTCAACAGTGCCGCCAATATTAATAAGACGCTGACAAGCGCCGACAAGCCGCTCACCTACCGCCACCATAGTGGGGAACATGAAGCGTATCTTGCCAGTGGTGAAGGCGGGCGATAGCTTGTGACGCAGCACGCGCCATTGTTCGCCATCCAAGAACAGCAGATTGCCGGTGAGCGGATCATCGCGCACATTGTGAAAGAGTCCGCGATCTGCGAAATAGTTAAAGTCTTTTATTAAGATGCGCTTGATGAGTTCGGGTTCGATGATGAAGACGACGCGCTTAAAGAATGTATACGCGCCAATAATGTTCGCTTGGGCCTTGAAACGATTATAAATGCGCGCGTTGATATCCTTCCAGTGATAAAGTGTACCAATGCCGCTCATATTGCCGACGAAGAATTTCGGTGGCTCGTGTGGAACACCGCGGCGCGCCCAATAGCTATAGTGGCGGCGCAGCTGTATATAGAGTATGGCTAGGACGGTGGCTAGCAGCGCGCAGAATACCGCAGCAGACATGTTCGTAGGTAGGTGATTCTTATTAAAAATAATGATAATTCCGTAGCAAAATTTTTTCTATGTGCGTATATAATCAATGCTTTAATATATGATAACTTTTTAGTAGGTATGCGAGCTTTAAGAATGAAATATCAGGCACCAACTATTCTGTTCGACTGGCCAACTGCAACTGCAACCGCTGCTGAGAGGTTCACTTAGTTTACTTTGCCGTTCGCTTAGTGCAGTGCGCTCTCGTAAATTATAAACGCTTCTGGGGTACATACATACATATATATACATATATATGCGTATAAGTTTTAAAAGCTTATCACGAAAAAGAATGCAAATTTCGCGGTTTTCGTATCAAGAAACTATGTGTTCTTTTGCTGTGAGACACACGCATTGTTCTTTCTCGAAATGAAAGCGTTTATTGTTTGGTTATTTCAACAGCCTGGTAATTTTTAAAGTTTTGCAAGAAAATTTTAGGTTAAGCACAAATTCAAAAAATAACAAAAAAATAAATATTTACCTATATGATTTTTGTTGGAATAGTTTTCGCTACCACTGTGTTTTAGCAAAACTTGCATCAGCCACATTGAGCAATGACACATTCGCTCTAATAATTCCCCGCTAGCGAATTCTTAACCGGTTTTTTTTTACTAAAACGTCTGATATTCGGATTACGACTGCTATTTATAACCACATGGCCGCTACCATTCCTTAGCTACGTACTGGGCATTCAGTTTATGAATCCTAGATCCTAAAAAATTTCTAGGTAAGCTTACAAGTCAGTTAACGATAGTATGCGAGCTAAGCTATTATCTTTCTAAAAAGGTCCAATAAATGCAAACTTCGTGCATATTTAGGGAGGAGGTGCTTAATTTCTGTAGAAATTTTGGCAGCGAAACCTTTAGTGACTAGTAGTTTTCTTGCTGATTCCCATTGGCAGTAGATTCTGTGTAGTGGTCATCTTCGACTAGACCAGCAGGCGGTAATTCACCGGGAAGGCACACGTAAGACTCTAAGTTCCGTAGGGGTTGACGATAGGAAGAATTCCTTGCTTTCTGTATGCGATTTTTTGGCACCGTAAGTCATTTGCAGCGAAGTCACTGATTACTCCATGGAAACGGTTGAAATGCTCCCGATCACAAATCTAGTTTATTATATGCACACGAAATTCTGTACTCCCGCCATCTGGTGCGAATGTTTTCTATAGGTGCATTGGGAAGCAAAATATGGTTAATTTTTAGATAACAACCCAAATAGAGATTCGAAACCGCCCACTTTCCGCATACAGGAGGCGTAGGTAGACCATACTTTGGAGAATAAATTTTGAAGGAAAGTGTACAAAAATTATCAAAATTAAGAAGAAATTTTTGGTTAAAGGAGAAGAGAGCAAAAACTGCGATTAATTTAGTTAAGTCGACGGTTAGGAAGAATAACAAAATAATGGAAAGACTACTGCTGTACAGAACGGACAGAACGATCTATAGCACGGTTCATTCATAGTAAAGCTCTAGACGGTGAATTCTGTCAAATCAGTGATTTAGTCTGGATAGCTCAGTAAGAAGCTATCCGAATGAACAAATGAATGGATGGATGGACGAACGGGCACATTGGGTGCGATGTGACAGGTTTACGGCGAACCGTGAGACTGAACGAGACAGGGCAGACCGTTGTGATATGAAGGAGCGGAGGCAACTAAATAGGAACGACAGATGTGGGTGGGCCATTAAGGACCAGACGTGGGTTTGCTATATAGCGGTTTTATTTAACAATCGGCATATGGCCGAATGGATACGATAACATTTTTATGATTGTTGAAGCGTACCCAAATGGTCACTACGCTCTATTTTAATTTACCCTGTCTATTTTTCAGGAACTGAGATGGGGTAACCCTCTTTCTAGGCTGTCCCCAATGCCGAGTTAGGATTTCCTGTAGAATCGGGTTTCACTTCTTAGAGCCAAAATCTGCTTGAGCATATAATTTCAAGTAAAAGTTTCAGATTGAGCAGTCTTATCAAGCAGGTTTTTCTAATAACGAATACGCACCTTTCAAGGAAAAATTCCCGAGATTTTATTTTACGTGGAGACTTATTAATAACTTAATGACACAACATTTCAACTATAAATTAAAAAGTCTATTTCAAAACTCATTTCATTGCCATAAAAAACTATTTGTTGTCCTATCGCGCGACTTTCAAAGGCTCCACATTTAAATGTATGCCGCTGGCTGGTGTGATTTGGAAAATGCGTTCAATAAAATCGAGTGGCACTTGAGTTCGTGCGGATCTGCTGAACTGGAAATGACGCAGCAAATTAACCAACCCTACCTTGGCCTGCATTTTGCCAAAACGCAAGCCAATACAGGCGCGAGGTCCTTTGCCAAATGGCATGTACGCAGCAGCATGACGATCACTATGCTCTTCGGTGTTAAAACGTTCGGGATCAAACTTATCCGGCTCCGGGTATAGCTCAGAGTCGTGTTGAATGGCGTGCACAGGCAACACTACAAGAGACCCGCTTTCGATGACCTCATTGGTGTTGGGCACCAAGTAGTCCTCCTTAGCTTTGCGCACCAGATACGGCACAACGGGGTATTTGCGCAGTGTTTCTAGAAAATAGAAGAGGAGGTAAAAGCTGTAATGTTTGAAGATATCGCGCACTTTCACTCACCATCCACTGCTTGATCAAGATACTGCATTTCATTTAGCGCCTCGTATGTGAGCTGTTCGTTATGCGCTTTCAGCACATGTTCGATCTCATTGCGCGCCTTCTCCTGTATCGCCGGATTCAATGCGAGCTCGTATAGACACAGCGACATGGTCGTCGAAGACGTATCAAAACCGGCCACAAAGAAGACAAACGCTTGCGACACTATTTGCAGCAGCGTAAGACCTTGCGAAAGGTCGATGCCATCACTTTTCGCCGACAAACGCTCGTCTTCCGCCTTCAAGGCGATCATCAAATCCATAAAATCGTTGCGTTTGCCTCTGTCGCGCTGTCGCAGCTCCACAGTTTGACGCACTACATCCACATAGAACTGTATTATGTGGTCGGGAAAGAACTTCAAACGCAAACGACGTGCCAAATCTGGATTCATCAGCATGAATGTCTGCACGAGTTGTGAGTGCCGTTGTTCGGAGAAGACGGCATGGCCGCGACTTCTGAACTCAGCCTGCGGATCGCGTAGGCTATTGCACTCAATGCCAAAAGCGCAAGTGCCAATTACATCGGTAGTGTAGCGCGCGCACAGCTCCTTCATTTCCAGCTCACCCTTATGTGTGCTGTCCGCGATCGCCGCGTGGCATGCTTGCGTCAGTTCATTGCCCACTTTCAGCACGGTGGGGAACATGTATTTCATATTGCCTGAAGAGAAGACGGGCGTGAGTTTCTGGCGCATGGCGCGCCATTGCTCGCCCTCCAAGCGAAACAGATGACCGGTGAGTGGATCATCGCGTGGATTCGAGAAAACACCGCGATCTTGGAAGTTCGAAAACTTACTAATGCAGATGTCTTTGATGACATCCAAATCAAGTATGAGTGCGGCGCGCGTGAAGAAGATATACATGCCCACAAAAGGTCGACGCTTCTTGTACTCCTCGTAGAGTAGCTTGTTGAAGTGGCGTAGCTGCACTTGACCGCCAGGTGTGCGCTGGATGTTGCCAACCACATAACGGGGCGCAACCTGTGGCACCCCACGTCGCTGCCAATAGGTGTAATGCCGCTCGAGCGCGAACACCACGAGCGCCAATGCGATGATGATGAGAGTTAATAGTAGAAACATTCTTTTGGTTTTTATTTCATTTAAGTAGTTAAGGTAAAAATTTTAGCATTTAAATAAAATTTTGGCTATTTAACAAAATTTTAAGCGAAATACCGCTCGTCTCAATGCTTTACTATTACTGATTGAAGTGACAACAGCAGACGGGCATATTAAATAGTATTTTTTTTTGTTTATGCCGACCAGCAGGGCAAGTATAGAAGCAAATAAACATTTATAAATAAAACAAACAGCGTACAACAACTCGCAAGTGCTCAAACTTTTCACTGCGCTTAAGCGCGTGGCATTTGCCGGTATAGCTTTGTGCATAGAAAATGGCTAAGTAGATCTCGCAGTTTTGAGCGTTGTGGGGAGTTTTGGTTTCAGTCTACTTCTTATTATAATTCTGCTTTGGATTCCATACACAAGAGTAAGCAGAATTATTAAATTCGTCAGATCTAGTATGTTTTGGGCCACCCAATTTTAAGTATTATATGTCGCTACTGTTATATTTAAAATTTGAATAACTCGTGTTATGATATTGTTACTTGTAAACAAGCAATGCGTTTTGGTTTTTAGACAAGTTTATTTAGAGAACTAATGTGTGTTTGGGCTTGCATAAAGTGGTGAAATAACAGGGAGAGCTTTTCTTAAGTACTCACTCTCAATTGATGATAATAAAGAAATAATGGGTGACACAGTTAGGGGTTCGTAAATAAGAAATTATATAATTTCTTTAAAACAAAAAACATCCGCCATATACATATATTATTTTATTTTTATGAATCTTGCGAACATGAATGTCAGCTATCTAACAAGCAATGGCAGAGAGTGATTAGGACATTGAGAGCGTATGCATTGTGTGCATTCAACTTAATGCAATAGTGCCCAGATAGAGCTCTTAGTTTTTGCCAGGCGTATATAAATTGTAACAGGAGCTTTTAAAAGTTTACAACTGGTGCCTATGCTGAACAAAATATGAAGTATAACTTATGTACATTACTGATGCTCTTCAAAGCTCTCTGTAGGTTTTGTATGAACGCGCACAGAGTAAAAGCTCTCTCTGAGCCTCACTCATGTACATACATATACCAGTCGCGAATAAATTATATTACATGGGAAAGGTTTATCAAAGCTTTCCATATATTTTATATGGGAGCGCGTAGTGCAAAAGCTCTCTCTGGATGCTGTATGTATTTATAGAGTCGAGATGATGCAGTGATGCTCAAACCGGCGCCCATTCGCGGAACTCTTCAAAGCTCTCTGTAGATTGTATATGGACGTGCACAGATCAAAAGCTCTCTCTGAGCATTACTGAGATGATCACAGACAGCTTTTAGACTCTGCACGTCCATATAAAACGGTCATGGGCAGCAACTTGGTTGCGTGCAGAGCTCTTTCAAGCCTTTTTTGAATTTTTATGACTACGAATGGGGTGAAAGCCCTCTGTACTCATTACTGATATAAAACCTATAGAAGGCTTTAAAAAGCATGTTTCTTAGCATATGTTTTGGTCGCGGTGATGGGGACCGCCTTGCCCGCGGTCAAAGCTCTTTTAAGATTTCTATAGATTTTGTATAGGCCTGTGCAGAGTAAAACCTCGTATCTGCCCATCGCTGGTAAAGCACAGCTGGTAAAGAACAGCGATGGCCAGAGAGAGCTTTTACTCTGCGCGCGCATATACAAAATGTATAGAGCCCAAAAGAACTTTGCCCGCGAGCAAGGTGGTGCCCATCGCCGGTATAGAGTATGTGGAGCCTCAGGGGCTGTTTCATTGCCTGACTTCGAAAGTTTAATCCCAAACAAATAATCACTTTAAAGATTGCTAATTTGAAAAGCAGTGTTTCATTAACTACGATCATGCAAATCTGTACTATATGCGTGTAGATATAAATACGGTGATTTTATGCAAATATTATAGTCCTCTACCAGCTAACTCTTCTCTACTCAATAAACAACCAAAGCTGCTAGATGCATAAACTATGCATTTACTATGAATTTTTATTATTTTGCTTACTTAGTAGCTCCGTTGAGACGGACGCATAAAANAAAGCATTTACTATGAATTACTGAAACGTTTTTTTTTTTATTATTTTGCTTACTTAGTAGCTCCGTTGAGACGGACGCATAAAAAGAGAAGACACAAAAGCTGAGAAATAACCCACCTCGGGAACAATGTGCTTCTATACACCACCATTGGCAATGGTGGCAGTGCTTGTTGCTGCGAAGCTCGCCTACGTCGGTTTTTGTTAAGCAAATGAGTGTAAGGTGGTAATTGAGAAAAATGAGAAAAAGGTAAAAATAAAATAGAAAAACTGTAGTGCACTTACATTCTTAGTTTCTCTCTTCCTTTTTGGTAATTTTTTTTCTCTCTCTTTGGTAATTTTCTTGCACGCATCAACAACTAAAATAAGAAAAATATTGCACTTGAAGCTAAATAAATTAATATTAACAGCTTTTTAGCAAGAAAAATCGAGTAGAGACTTTAAAATGTAATGCATGTATTGTAAATGAAATTAGTTTACAAATAATTTATCACAAAAGAGCCAGTAGTAATGGATCATAAAGTAAGTTATCAGCACTTTTGATAAGAAACCACTCTAATTGTTTTAAGTGGATATCTATGGCATAGCAAAAGGGATATTTATTGAGGTTTATGAAAACGAAAAATACGGATTAAACTACACGGAAATAGTCTGCCAGTAGTGTCCTCTTTATCAAATGCACTGTACTCTTTCAAAACTACATATGAGTGTGTGAGCAACTGCAATTAAGCACTCATAACAGTGTCACCTGGATATGTCGTTTTGATGGTAACGAAAGAGCTGATGCTCTCGCATAACGTGGGCTCCAACGGAGCTTATGTGGTCCACAGCATTTTTGTGATCCGCCAAAAGGGTACACAGCAGAGGTCCTAGGGGAAGTTTAAGAAATCTTTCATATACAGTGTTTGCACCTTGCTATATGTAAGGCTGTAGTTATCCATGGATAGCAAATTTTCTACATGCAAATGAGATTGCCATTTTACTTGGAACAATTTTTAAATCAAAGCAAACAAAAACAAGTAATGGTCCTTAAGAAATGAGAGCTTATGCTGGCATTTGGCGTAAAGGCGAGATATTGGGATTTTGTAAATTTTAGATATATGTACCTCCACACATACATACATATGGGCAATGAATGTAATGAAGTGTAGAAAATATGAAAATTATGCGAATTTGTTCAAACAGTTTTTACTAACGCAAAACTCTGGTATAACTAAAGGGATATTTACGTATGCACATTAGGGTGAATCAGTCTCCATAAAAAAACAAAAAAACTCGGTACTGTTTTTTCATGGGTATTCTAAAACTTATTATATTTTGAGACCTTCGCCAAAATATTTCTTAAAAATATAAAGATTTACCTGAATTGAAATGATTTAAAACTACATGCAAGCATTGCTTTTTCGTAAATAAATTTAATTAAATTTTAAGCGTAGAAATATTCATTAAGATGTTTCAAAAATTTGTCGAGGTAGTCAAAATAATACGATTTTTTAAATTACTTTCAAATCGGTTCAGTTCATGTTGATCCCACGTCGGAGGTTTGTCCATGCCTGCCGAGGGGCGACCGCTATTAGAATTTTAATTTTTTTTTTTGAATTTTTTGATGTCGGGTTGAACACAGACGCTATGGAATGGTAGCGCGCACTGCTAGCCACTACAACACAGCGATATAGTACTTATATCTGTTTTTTTTTAAATGATTGAAAACTAAATATTATCTTATAGGACTTCCACTCAGCGCCAAATGACTCAGAAACTGATAAATTAGCAAGCAATGCATGACTAAGTAATTGGAATGGCTAAGTACCTCGACTGTCGATTATACGACATTTTTTTTTTTTTAAATTAGAAACAATATGTTTTATTAACTCATTTATACTATATTATATACTTACATACATATACATATTCACATCTTTTTTTAAAATAAAATTAGCAGTCAAATTTATTTCAGCTTATACCCGAAAATTAATTTATCTACACAGGCTCCACACGCAATTTAATTCCATCAACCGAATGCAGCAAGATTCTACCCTTCATGCCGTGCTTGCTGACATTGGTTTGTTCACAAAGTGAGAATCTGAAATTTCGCAGCAAATATGTCAGTCCAACTACTGCTTGCATTTTGCCAAAACGCAAGCCGATACAATTGCGTGGCCCATCGCCGAACGGTAGCCACGTGCATGCGGGCCGCTTCTTGATTTCCGCCTCCGTGAAACGTTCGGGGTCGAACTGTTCTGGATTGGGGTAGTATTTGGGGTCATAGTGTATGGAATCTACGGATATAACTATCATAGTGCCCTTTTCGATAGTGTAGCGTGAGTCTGCGGTTTTATAATCCGCGTTAGCCTCGCGTGTCAGATGTGGCAGTACTGGGTATTTCCTTAAGGTCTCTGGAATTATATGCGACAATTTCGTATAGGAATAAGCCAGTGATATACTTATTTTCAAAACCACTACTCACCCGAAAACACCTGCTCCATATAATGCATATCCATCATTGCTTCGTAGGTGAATTCGCCATTATGCCGCTCAAGCACTTCCACAATTTCTTTGCGTAGCCGCTCCTGTATATCCTCATGCTTAGCCAATTCGTACAGTGCGAAGCCCATTGTAGTGGACGAGGTCTCAAAGCCGGCCAAGAGGAAAACAAAAGCCTGTGCGGCAATTTGATCCATTGTGAGACCGCCATCCTTGCCATCTTTCGTTTTCAATTCAATCAGAATTTGCATCAGATCTCTGCGGGTCACTTGGTTCTTCTCCCTGAAGGAGACAGTCTCACGGACTATGCCCATGTAGAAGTCATGCACTTGATGTGATATTTGCCGCATTCGTAGTGCACGCGCCAACTTAGGCGCTGACTCGAGCAGAGCATCTACGAATTTATTATGTCGCCTTTCGCTGACCGCCTTCTGTCCCATCACCACAAATTCTGCGGTCGGATTGCGTAGGCCATTGCATTCGATGCCAAAAGCGCAGGTACCAATCACATCGGAGGTGAAGCGGGATACTAAATCGCCCATTTCTATGATGCCACCAGCAGACGTCGCTTGCTTTTCTTGCATAACTCGTACGAACTCCTCAGCCACCTTGGTGATGGTGGGATACATAAACTTCATTTTACCGGATGTGAAGGTCGGTGATAGTTTTTGACGCAGTGCGCGCCACTTTTGCCCATCCAAAGCGAATAAGTGGCCGGTGAGCGGATCGTCCCTCTCGTTGTGGAAGACACCGCGATCGTGAAAGTTGTTGAAGTCTTTGATAAGGATATTTTTCACTAAATCAATGTCCAAAATTAGTGCGATGGGGCGAAACATCAAAAACATGCCGGCGAAGGGAGCCCTGCCTTTGAATTTATTATAGACTGGCAAAAAAACTTCGACAAACGTTTGTGTTTTCTGCCAGTTTTTGAAATCGCCCATCGGGAAGCTAGGCTCATTGTGTGGCACGTGACGGCGTGCCCAGTAGCCATGACGGTACTTGAGGACGAGAAAACCCAGTGTAACGGTGAGTATAAACAAAGCGAGAAACACACCCATTTCGATGTATTTTGTAAAACTGTCTAGGACTCGAAGCGAACTGAACAAGTGAACATTTAAGTAAGAACTGAACAAAATTTTGCGGGCTAAATAGATTTAAATTCGACGATTTGTGAGCTTTCATTGAAGCAGTTTTCTTATCGTTCATATAGACGCTCTTTAAGTGGAAGTTATGGAGAGTAGTTGGTAGACACACCCAAACACACAAACACACCTGTTTGATGGGCATGGGCTCTCTTCCGCAATACTGAAAACATTTTTATGTGGCCATTTGACGGCGGGACTGGTCTAGTTGATTTGTTTTTGTATATTTTAAATGTCTTTGTTGTACCGTTATCTGTTGTTTTCTATGCTAGATATTCACGCACATTCATAGTATTTAAATGATTCAGCAATTTGTTGAACATTTTGCAAAAATATGGTGGTAATTGTTATCATCAATAAAAAAAAACAATAATAAAATTATAATAAATTAGTATATAAATACCTACGAGTGCATGGAATGATTTGAGTAGATAATTTTAAGGCCAGAAAATCCCATTCAGCTAGTTCTTATTTTTGGAAGTGCTATCCGGTTGACGCTGTACCTACTACAGTGGGGAAAAAAACGATTAGTTTTGCATCCGAAATGTTATGCCGCTTGCAAAGTAGTAAAAATTTAATGAATTTAAATTTTTGGTTATTGCTGCTTCCAACTGGGTATTGGTTTGACAATTTTTTATGTTTTGTCTCCAAAACCTTAATTGAGAATTGAGGACCAAAATTTGTTCCAAATATATCGCTTGAAAATAACAACAAAAATACACATACAAATGTTTATACCAGTATCGATAAAAATTTAAAAAATAATGTCGATTAATTAATCGATACATTCATCGATAAGGTTGCTTAACTATTATAGTTATACTTAAATCATTGACCACCTCAATGAAATTATCGATAAATACTTTGATAAATTTATCGAAACACTTTTTACATAAAAATCTATAGATATTTAAAAAAAGATAGTATCGATAACATACATATGCGCATGCCCCAAATTAAAATTATAAAACGATAAAATGATAAGCAACAAACTACTTGGCCTTGTCAAAGTACTAAAGTATGAGTTATATTTTTCAAAACCTGTGTTACTTCTTTCATGAGCTAAAACGTAGTTTAGGGTGGTCGGTGGTCTTGCCGAGAATTATAGAAAATGGAAAAAGGAAAGTGCTTTCAAGTTTTGCATATCGACGGCTGAGTGGAGGACTGCCTGTCCTATTTCGGCTGCCTGTTTGAAAATGCCCTAACTCAGCAGCTTGAATTTATATTGAGATAGTGTAGTGCAAATGAAATATGAAACCCTTGTTGTTATGAATAAATTAAATAATTATAAACGCTAAGCATGGTCGACTTTCAGTTACACTACACCTCCTTTTTTAAAAGAATGCTCATACAGAGTTTATTGTATGAACATTCCTATTTAGCAAGTAATTAAATATAATAATAGTTTATAAATTTATTTAAACTTAAAAAAATAGTTTTAATGATTATATATCTTAATTCTATTTTTATGTACAATTTGGGTTTTTAGCGTTTTCAAAGCGACAGCTGATATAGGTCATTTTTGAACCAAATTCTGAGATAGGGCGTTCTACAACTATTTGCTGTGATAGGTCGTTTTCGAACCGGCAGCAGAGATAGGGCGATTTTTCACTCAGGCGATGATATACATACATTTTTTTCTTCGTAGAAATGCTACAAAATCTTTAAAAATAAATGTTTTGCCTTCAGAAATCTTCCAACAATGAAATTATGATGCGAAAATTTTGCACCACCTTAATACACATTCATATTGTTTACTAGCCATATGGTAAATATTTGTTTAGATTTGTAGCTTCTATTTTGATTTTATTGCGCAGAACCTTTATTTTGTTTGCATACATCTGTACGCTTGTAAATACTAGGTATGTATGTGTATTTGTCTCTATTTTGGCAATTAGTAATGAGTAAGAGATAAATAAAAACGATTTATAACTGTTAAGAGACTTACGTATTATACATACGAGTTTACGTACAAACAAACATACATATGTAAGCAGTTGTGTGTATGAATCACTCAATAAAAAAGCGTTCACATATACATATGTACATAAGCACATGTGGTCACCTCCAATGTAGAATTATCAAACTTGCATACGAGGGAATTTTTATGGCAAGTGCTTCACCAAAGAGCATAGCTTTCGTTAGACAAGAAATTGGAGTAGTGTGTATTATATGTACATTAGGGTGGTCCAAAAAAAAGTAAAGTGGGAATTTTAATGCTCTCACCTCCTAGGATTGTTCTATACCGAAAAAACTATACCCCTATCTTTTTATTTTGAAATCAAAAGATATTTAGAGGTCGCTCAAAGCGCTCAAAATATTCCATGCATTTTATATGGGGGAAAAACAAGTTTTCGTAGAAATGGTATGGAATTCTTGAAATCAATATTTTTCGATCGGAAAACTTTGTTTCTCTTCAGAAGAGTTCCAATAACCAAAACCAATTATTTATTTAACCATTATCTATTATTAACTATTTTTTATAGGGCCCCTAAAACCTCAAATGGGTCCCCAGTTGCATTTTTTAGGTTTTTAGGGGTTCTAGATAAATAGTTTATAATAGATAATGCTTAAATAAATAATTGGGTATGGTTATTGGAAGTATTCTGCAATTTTCCAGAATTCTATACCTTTTCTAAGAAAACATGTTTTTCGCCATATAAAATACATTAGAAACTTTAAGCGCTTTGAGCGACCTCTAAATATTTCTTTATTTCAAAATAAAAAAAAAACACGGGTAAAGTCTTTTTCGATGTAGGGGTGATAACATTGAAATTCCGGCCTTAATTTTTCACATGCGTTTTTGGAACACCCTAGTCTACATACAAACATATATGGAAATATGTACGAGCACATAGCCGCCATAGCCGAGTGGTAAAAGGTGCGTAGTTACATAAAATTTATGGAGAAAGTTTTTTTTTTGCAAACAGCGTTCGCCCTTCGACAAGCAATGCCAAAGAGTTGTTCATGAAAAATCACTTTCAATTCGAAGGTAGCGTAAAGCGATTATATTTGTATGACAACAATAAGACTTTACGCAGCCGAAGAAGCTCGGTCGAATTCTTAACGACAAAGTGAGTGCAATTTTTCTTTGAAGTTGTGCTGTGTGTGAGAGTGCTGAATGCTCGAAACTGTGTAAAGGAGATAGCAATGATTAAAGTTCTTCGATTGACAGTTTTCCTTTGCGTGGTGAACATACGAGTACATAAATATCCACAAAGATATCGATAAAGCTATTTATTCTAGAAAGGAAAGACTTTAGCTTGTAAAATTATTTATATCTGAGAATTATTTTATTTTAAAGGCATTAAAAGCATTAGAAGACAGTGCTATTATACGAAAATTATTCTCTAGCTTCAGCAGTGATACTTAAGCAATAAGTAGGTAATATATTCCGCCACCTATCTGCCAACTCTATAACTAGATTAATTTGTTTTACCTTCTTTTGGTGGCTATTACTGAATTCGGTAGTAAAACCACCCGTAGGACACTAAGCCGAGGCCTACTAAGTACTGGACAAAGGGCTTCACAGCCGCCTAATTCGTTATCGTTGCACATTTCCTGCAAGTTTTTCCATTTTTCGGGGTTGGCTAAAATGCTTGCTATCATATGCTCCATATACAGTTCTAAGCCTTTTGCAGCCGTGGAAACTTTAAAAATTATTTTTGTAATTAAATTTGCTGAACAAATCTTAATTTCCGTTAATTTTGTTTAACAAACATGTGTACGTATGGGCATATGTTTATACATACATCTATACGTATATGTACTTCCCTTTGCATTCACTCACATGTTACGCATACGCCGTGCTGCCCCTTAATAAGTTCCACCTACCTATGTACATGAATGTTTACGGATTTCCATGAAGAAGCCAGCATAGAGAAACACACATAAAAAAAAAAAAATATTTCATTTTTGCTACGGGAAAAATTTAATACAAACACCTAAAGATTGGCTAAAGGGCAAAAGGTAAAACAAACTTAATTTACTCCAATGTATTTGTTTGGTCTGGGCTAGTTAAATGCAAATTTTAATTTAAAGTTCTTTCTTGGATGTGGAACGCTGCCTCACTCGGTGGCTAAATACCACCAGTACTTTTCTGTTCATACATATGCGCATATGTATATGTATACATATATTAAAAAGTATGATGCTGTTACTATTATCCTCCCGCCGAAAAGCCACAACAGCTAAAAAGCCACAAAAAAAAACTATTTCCCTCAAACGCTTGTAGCTGTATCAGTCTGAGTACAGATACACATACATATACATCGTATATCGAAACATACATATATACATATGTAAGAGTATAGGCAAATGTATATGTGAAAGCTTAAATGCACCAGCGAGCGCAAGCGAAAGCCACTGACCTGAGGGCAGGATAACGAAAGGCGCGACTAAAGAGCGAAATACACCACACAAGCGGTTTGACAAACCAAGCGAAATTTCCCTTTGCTTCAAGCCATTTGTGCTGTGTATGGGGGTGTTTGAAGGTTTGACGGCGGTTTGTCAAACCTTCAAACACCCCCATACACAGCACAAATGGCTTGAAGCAAAGGGAAATTTCGCTTGGTTTGTCAAACCGCTTGTGTGGTGTATTTCGCTCTTNTTACAGCCTTCGATATCGTTGACTTTCTATTCATTGCCAAACCGATCGCTAACTCTACTGAGCAGTTATACCTGCAATAATATAAATTGATTTTTAAATCGTTTTATCGATTTTTATCAATATTGTTACTGGTAAAATTTTTTAAATTTATCGATATACTTGCTGATGAATTTATCGTTACCTTTATCGATATTTTTTAACGGTACCATTGTAAATTTATCAGTAAATTATCGACAATTTAATGATATTTTTATGGATATTTCTGTATTGATATTGTTATCGATGCCTTTTAAATATTTATCTATTAGTGCCGTTGTAAATATATCAGTAAGTTATCGATATAATTAATAATATTTTTGTGCATTTGCTCCGATATTGTTATCGATACCTTTTGAAATATTTATCGATACATGTTTTTATTTACAAATTTATCTAATTCATTTGGCACCCACCATAGCCAGGGAAGAATTAATATCTTTACAATAAAACTGATTTTTTCATATCAGAAATTTGAACTATACAATTTGAACATTAAATCGACTATTATCGATTTTCAAATTATCGATATAATCTTTGAAATCGGTAATTCAGCTTTCGATATCATTGACGTTTTATATACCTAAATATGAATATTTTACAAAATTTATCGATATCGCTATTGATAAATTTGTCAATATCGTTACCTAAGTGTTTTTTTTTTGTTACCCTAAATCAAATTTTTTCGTTGAACAAATCTCAGTTATTCCATTTTGAAACATTGAACATACACTAACCAACTTATTTAGACCTTATTTTAACGCTTCACTGTTAATTTTGCAACCGAATTTCATTTGTAACCCCAAATAATTTCTTCCATTAATCATT